TTGTAACCTGTTAGAAGCCGTTGTAGCCCCTTGTAACCTACTAAAATCCGTTGTAATCTCTTTCAACCTTTTGTACCCCCTGGTAACCTCTTGTAACCCCCTGTAACCTCCAGTAACCGCCTCTCACCCCTTGTAATCTCTTGTATCCCCCTGTAACTTCTTGTAACCGCTTTCAACCTCTTGTAACCCCTTGTAACCCTCTCTTACACTTTGTATTACATTGTGACACTTGAGACCATTGTATCCCTCTCTAGTCCCCTGTGACCCTTTGAACCCCTTGTATGCCCTTGTTACTTCATGTAACCTCCTGTAACCCCCTGTAACCTCTTCTAACCCCTTGTCACCCCCTGTAACCCCCTCTAACCTCCAGTAACCCCATGTCAGCCCTTGTAACGTCTGTAACCCCCTGTAACCTCGTAGACCCACTATAACCCCTTGTAACCTCCTGTAACTCCTCGTAACCCCCTGTAACCCCTTGTAACCCCCTGTAACCTCTTGTAACCACTTGTAACCCCCTGTCACCCCTTGTAACCTCTCGTAACCCGTTGTAAACCCCTGTAACCTTCAGTAACTCCCTGTCACCCCTTTTAACCTCCTGTAACCCCCTGTAACCCCTTAGACCCACTATAACCCCCCTGTAACCGCCAGTAACCTCCAGTAACCCCTCTTACCCCTTGTAACCTTTTTTAACCTGCTGGAACTTTTTGTACCCACTCTAACCCCCTTGTAACCTCTTGTAACCCCTAGTAAGCCCTTGTAACCCCTTGTGACCCTTTGTAACCCCTTGTCACCCTCTGTAATCTGTTGTAGTTCTTTGGAACCCCTTTGTAATCTCGTGCAACCTCTTGTAACTAACTGTAACGCCTTGTTATTCCTTGTAATCTTTTGTAACCCTTTGTGACTTACTGTAACCATTATTAAGTCCAGTAACGCCTTGTAACCCCCTGTAACCCCCTGTAGTCTCTTGTAATCCCTCGTTACTTCTTGTAACCCCTTGTACCCCCTGGAACCGCTTGTAACTCCCTTTAAGCCCTTGTAACCCACTGTAACCCCTTGTAATCCCTTGTTACTTCATGTAACCCCTTGTAACCCGTTGTAACCCCTGTAACCTCTTGTAACCCCTTGTAACCCCTTGTAACCTCTTTAACCTCCTGTAACCTCTTGTAACCCCTTTTAACTGCCTGTAACCCCTTGTAACCCCCTCTAACCTCCAGTAACCCCCTGTCACCCGTTGTAACCTCTTGTAACCCCCTGTAACCCTTTAGACCCACTATAACCCCCTGTAACCCCTGTAATATCCTTTAACCCCTTGTAACCCCCTGTGACCCCTTATAATCCCTTGTTACTTCATATATTCCCTTGTAACCCCTGTAACCTCTTGTAACCACTATAACCTCCTGCAACCCCTTGTAACCCCCTGTAACCTCTTGTATCCCCTTGTAACCTTTTGTAACCCCGTGCAACCTCCAGTAACCCCCTGTCACCCCCTGTAACCCCGTAGACCCGCTATAACCCCCTGTAACCCCTTGTAACCCCTGTAACCTCTTGTAACCACGGATAAGGTTCTGTAATCCCTTATAACCCCCTGTAACCTTTTGTATCCCCCTGTAACCCCTTGTAACCCCCTGCAACCTCCAGTAACCCCCTGTCACCCCCTGTAACCTCTTGTAACCCCCTGTAACTCTTAGACCCACTATAACCCCCTGTAACCTCCTGTAACCCCTTGTAATCCCTTGCTACTTCATATAACCCGTTTTATAAAATAACTGAGATAGTACCTGTGATCTGATTGGTCAAAAACCTATGGTTTATTATACTGGTAAACCCATAGAAAAAGGCATCCGGACCACGAGCCATAAACAAAACCGGCTATTGGTCTGGAAACAACGATTTTAGAAAGGCTAAAAAACAGAACAAGTTACTTACCCAGCCCTTCTTAATATTAAAAGCGTTGGTTTCCACATTTTATTACTGAGCGTCACAATTCGCTACTGCCATAGCTTTAGAAGTTATAAAGTACAAAGCTGGAAAACAGTTTACATTTCACGACGATGCCAAATCGCAAAGAAAGACAACAACTGTGTGAATTTCTGGTGTAGAAAGTCTCTAGGAAAACTTAACCATGTGCCAACCAGCAACAAAAACGGATAGTTTTAGCATTCTTGATTTATTTCATCTCAAACTTAAATTCCTTAATGAAAGAAATTGTTCCAAAAAGAGATCTCTGATCAAGATATGGTACAAAATCGGCGGCTGTAGGTTGTAAACGAGCTGCCAACGATGATGAAAGATGTCAGAGTTTCGGGCTAGTTTTTTCCAACATTTGCACAAAATATTCGGTGATATCGATGCCATAACCTACCTCAAACCACCTCACTTCACGAATCGACAAATATTAACGCCAATATGTGGCTACGGCAAAGAAACCTTTCTCCACCACTGACATATTTCCATCGGTCGCTGTACGTGCGTATAAAGTTACATGCGACAACTTCGCAAATGCAGCCACGTCGTTACCGCAGCATTTCTTGATCATAATAAAGTCCAGAAAACAGATCTTAAACCACTGCGGCTTGTAAAAAGTGAATGAAGTCCTCTATTAAAATAGCTGTCAGTTCCGTCTGTAACAACGAAATTCTTACGGATCGACTCAACAAAATACAGCTGCGTACAGTCTGATGTTCTTTTTCTGTAGTAAACAAACCATGAACGTATTCTTTTATTGTACGTTCGCATGAATATGTGTTGACTTTTCCTGTAAAACAGCTTTCATAAGTTATCATGTAATGAGTGCAAAAACTCGTGGTTTGAAGTGCTGCTGTTTGTTGTTTGACTGAACTGAGTTTTGAGAAAGTTCAACCCTATTAAATCGTGAGTCATGATTGGCTTATGTTGACTTTAGAGAGAAGACGTGACTTGATCACCGTACCAGAACGATATTTTTTACCTAAAATACTCCATTCTACTAAAAGTTATTTTATAAAAGCAATAGACCACACTTTCTATGGGTTTACCGGCGTGATAACCCACTTGGGATGTTGGGAGAACGCTCGAAAAGCTTGTAAATCACTCGCCTTCGGCTCGTGATTTACAAGCTTTTCTCGTATTCTCCCAACATCCCGGGTGGGTTATCACGCCGGTAAACCCATAGAAAGTGTGGTCTATTGCTTAAGTAACCGCCTGTAACCTCTTGTAACCACTTGTAACCTCCTGTAACCCCCTGTAACCTCTTGTAACCCCTTGTAAGCCCCTGCAACCTCCAGTAACCCCCTGTCACCCCTTGTAAGCTCTTGTAACCCCCTGTAACCCCTTAGACCCACTATAACCCCCAGTAACCTCCAGTAACCCCTCTTACCCCTTGTAACCTCTTGTTACCCCCTGTAACTTCTTGTAACCCACTGTAACCCCATGTAACCTCTTGTAACCCCCTGTAACCTTTTGTAAGCCCTTGTAACCCCTTGTAATCTCCTGTAACCTCTTGTAAGCAACTTTACCCCTTGTAACCCCATCTAAACCTCCAGTAACCCCTGTTACCCCTTGTAATTCCTTGTAATCTCTTGTAACCCCCTGTAACCCCTTGTAACCACTTGTAACCCCCTGTAACCATTATAAACCTCGGTAACGCCTTGTAACCCCCTATAATCCCTCGTTACTTCTTGTAACCCCTTGTAACCCCTGTAACCCCTTATAATCCCTTGTTACTTCATGTAACCCCTTGTAACCTCCTGTAACCCGTTGTAACCCCCTGTAACCTCCAGTAACCCCCTGTCACCCCTTGTAACCTCTTTTAACCCCCTGTAACCCCTTGTAAGCCCCGATAACCTTTTTTAAGCCCCTGTAACCCCTTGTAACCTCCTTTAACCCTTGTAACCTCTTGTAACCATTTGAAATCCCCTGGAACCCCTTGTAACCCTCTATAACCTTTTGTAAGCCTTTGTAACCCCATCTAAACCTCCAGTAACCCGCTTTCACCCCTTGTAACCTCTTATAACCCCCTGTAACCCCTTGTAACCCACTATAATCCGTTGTAATCTCTTTTAACTTTTTGTAACCCCCGGTAACCCCTTGTAACCCCCTGTAACCCCCAATAACCCTCTCTTATCCCTTGTAACTTCTTGTATCCCCCTGTAACTTCTTGTAACCCACTGTGACCCCTTGTAACCTCTTGTAACCCCTTGTAACCCCCTGTAACCCCTTGTAACTCGTTTTACCCCCCTGTAACCCCTTGAACCTTCTGTAACCCTTTTTAACTCCTCTGTTACACTTTGTAATACATTGTGACACCTTTAGATCCTTTGTATCCCTCTGTAGTCCCTTGTGACCCCTTGAACCTCTTTTCTTTCCCTGTAACCCCTTGTAAGCTGCTGTACCTTCATGTAACCCGTTGTAACCTCCTGTAAACCTGGTAACCTCCTGTAACTCCCTGCAATCCCCTGTAACCCTTTGTAACCTTTTGTTAGCCGCTGTAATGCCTTGCAAACCTTTGCAATCCCCTGTGACCCCTTGTCACCTCTTAGAACTCACTGTAATCCCCTGTAATCTCTTTTATCAGATGTCCATTTAATAATTAATTTTTCTTGTCATTACTTTGACAGATAAGCATGTCTTTTGGAGCAAATGATAAAGTAGTAATAAGAATATGGCCTAATATAATTACGATGTTAACACTTTCAAAGTTGATTTAAAAGTGGGTAAATGTGATAGTAAAGGTTAAAGACAAAAAATGATGTCCAGTGGTCCCTATCTCTTATCTTATGTGGAGAAGCCCTTTTCTTGACACCTATTGTTATTGCTTATAGATGGCAGTCTTTTGGCTGTTTTTCTCCCAGCAGCCTTCCCTTCCTCTGGATGTGTACAAAACTCTCCTCGGAGGTTCTAAGTGTGACAGTGTCTGTTGGCTGCTGCTTACAGGGTTTTCATGGTTACTGTCCGTGCTCCCTCGTGGCTCCCGCAGTTTTCCCCACACTCATCTATTGGCCATGGGTTTAACACCATGACAGCCTCTGAGAGTGAATGGTTTTGACTGCATTTTAAGTGAAGGCTGATCGTGATTAATAAGTGCTTTCTCAGTCACTTGTTCTAATCTTTGACTGACAGTCTCAGAAGAGTGTGAACTTGACACCCTGCTTCTGTAGGCACTAATCAATCATAGATTGCACTCATCTTGGGGGCATTCTACCAAGTTGCCCACCGCGACTTTGACCAAGATTCTGAGTCTTCCCTGGTGGTGGTTTCTTTGCCTGGGACTGTTTACTTTTCCTTTGTCTGTTTTACCCTTAAAAAGTCTGTTGACATCCAATGCATTGAATGGAAGACTTGTGGCCGGCTGATTAACTTCTGCTGGGCTTGCTTTCTGTTTGCTTTGTTGATCCATGTTAGCTGTGTCAATTGCTAATCTTGTCGGTGCATAAAGATTAAACCATTGCTGGTGAGAAAAAGAATCATATATTTCAACATTTAAGATGACGTACTGTAAATTCCTTCCTGCAAGCTGCAATTGCAGCACATTTAGGCACAGGGGAGGGGTATAGATCCTATTGACAATTTTGTTTTTATATTTTCAAGATAGCGAGGGAGCTGTTTACAACATTGCCATTTCTTATTTGACAAAAACCTGACCTTCAAGATATGACAGCTTTACAGTCTTAGAAACTGGCCATGATGTTTCCAATCCCATGAAAATTAACTATTGCGCATTATGCTCCCCTTTAATTGCTCTCCACTTCCTAGCCACTACCCTTCCTTTTCACCCTCATTAATTTCATTCCTACGCTAAGTTCTGGTGAAATTACTTGTCTCTCTTACTGTTAAATCTGTTGAAAAATCCTACAGGTTTTAAAAACCATTCAGGAAAAACCTATTTGACGAAATTTTGCTTAATAGTTTTTAGAGTTTTTAATTTTTAAGGGAGATTTTTACCTTGGCCACTGTATTATTTTGAGTGAAAGTATTTAGCATGGGAACTGGCAAAACTAACCTTTGTTTCTGGACTGAGTCCTGTTGAGGTAAAAAGGTATTGCCAGACGGGAAGACCAAGGTGCACTATCATCATTCTAAAGTAATCTGTGAAGCAAGATGCGAGATACGACCACTCCAGGGAACGATCCAGAAACCAAATTTCTGGCTGACTGGTAGTTACTCCTAAGGCAAACAAGATATTATAATAATTAAGTATCTATAATATAACTCCACTATTAAGCCCCCCTCCCCAGGGTGCAAGGAGAGTCAGTTTTACGGCCTGCAATTAGGGAAAGCTGTAGCTACAATCGGCAACAAAATGAGTTGAGACACTTCGCCCAAAACTGGGCTTTTTTGCATTTTATTAACTTCAAAAGGAGGAAATATAGCATTCCTCCCCCATCCTCTCTGTGCAATGTTGTGCCCTTGTTCTAGCTAGCCATAGAAAACAACACAGACCCCAACTTTGAATGGAGGGGACAGGGGAGGGGTGCCGATTCTTTTGTTCTCCAAAGTTACCCTATTTGAGTACAATGTCTCAACAATTTTGTTGCCGATTGTCTGAATCGCAAAAGTGGCCGTACGTCCTTTAGAAGATTAATTGAATTCATTTCTTTATGCTGGGATGTAAGACCCCTGTTAGCTTTTTATTTGTTGTTTGACTTCATCATATCTATTTTAGAACAATTAGAATAAGGCGATTTCGTTATTTTCAGTGCGTGACATTTCGTGTCAAGCTCAACCGTGCCTTGACATCGTGTGATGTGGCGCGTCACGCACGATTTCTTGTTCTCTCCTTTATCGAAATGCATCGAAACAAAAAACAAAGTGAAAAGGATAGAAAAGTTAATAGATTTTTTAGGCATTAAAGTAGTTATAATGGCTAAAATTGCTCTTTAGGAGAAATTTCCATGAGTAACCACGAGTAACCACGATGAGTATAAGATAAAATAATCTGATTATCTTTTAAGAACAAAGTTACTTACTCGTGGTTACTCGTGGCCAGTCTCCTCCTGACCTCATAGTTTCTATTGTAAAGTACATTCTTCAAAGACCCTTATGGGTATATGGGCAACGAATCTACTGCACAGATTTAGCAATGCTATGTAGCTTTGCTGTGCGTTAGAAGTTGGAACATTTATCCTGAAAATTCTCCTGCGCATAGCAATCATGGCTATTTTATCGTCCCTCCCACCCTTATCAAATAGCCAAACTTCAAATAAACACTTCAAACTTACTAGGGATATATTCAAATACAATATATTATCTGCCATCAATTCCTAATGATTACACTTAGTTGCCAGAGGAAAATCAATCATTCGGTACGCGGGTACGCTGCGTAATTACTTGAAAACACTACTGAGTACAAAGATTGTCAAAACTAATTTTCCATCGAGAAACACAGGAAAGGGATTACCTATATGGGTATCTTATCTATCTTCTGAATAACGACCCGGTGAATACAGTAAGCTCAACTAGTTATCGTCTTCTAACCGCCGCTAATAGGACAACAGCGCGTAGATTTCGATTCAGACAATCGGCGACAAAATGAGTTGAGACACTTCACCCAAAACTGGGCTTTTTTTATGTTTTACTAACTTCAAAAGGGGGAAATATAGCATTCCTCCCCCATCCCCTCCGTGAAATGTTGTGCCCTTGTTCTAGCCACCTATAGAAAACAACACACACCCCAACTTTGAATGGTGGGGACAGGGGAGGGGTGCGGATTCTTTTGTTCTCCGAAGTTACCCTATTTGAGTACAATGTCTCAACAATTTTGTCGCCGATTGTAGCTTGTACTAAAAAGAGAATTCACTAGCCTGATAGCAAAATCCACTAGCCCTGAGCTTTCAGACATGACTTTCTTTCAAACTCTTCAACATATTGAATGCCATGAATGATGAATTATTTTAAAGCCCTCTGCATATTGTAAGGTCTAACCTGATAACATGTTATCAGAATTTCACCTACCAGCTTTCACATCTTTGTAAACCAAGCAGACTTTACCATGTCCATCACATGGATCAAGTTCAAAAACCTTACAGCGGTTGTCAAAGTGTGGCTTTACATGACCTGCAGTGATTAACGTAAAGGAAATTGTTTGATTTAAAACCAATATTATTGTCTCAGGAAAAAAACTCGGGAGGGTTACTCAAAGAATTATCAATGAATAATAATATGAATACATTAAGTGAACTCAATTATTAAATTTCTAAGATCTAATATTCATAAAGCTAGTTTATGATATTTAGAAATTAATCTATTAAAAAGGCTATCTTTTGGGAGGGGAAATTACTACCTCTTCTTGTAATAAGACAGTATAAAGATAATAGGGATAAGACAATTGATCTCAGTAGTTGAAAGAAAGTTACCATGTTCATCATCGTCATCTTCCTCGGAGTCTAAATCAGCCAAAGATGGTTTATCATCACAAACAGCTGTTGCTCGTGATAGCAACACTAAACCTGCTACAGGATTAAGTTCCATCTTCCCAAGTGGTAAGACACTCCCTGAAAACAAAGGACAATAGAGTGATTTTTTTATGACCTTGAAATGAAAATGCACGAACAAAACAGAAACAACAAACGAATGCAAATAGAGTGATTTGATTGGTTTATCAAACAGATAAAAACATGTGTGGCTTAATTTTGGTTGGTTAAGTGAACGCTCGCATGAAAAAAGTTCATGCCCAAGCACCTTCTTGAAATCAGTCGATACTTTGCTTTGACATCATACTGCAACACGATTGGTCAATCAAACAATGCCTTCTCCATATTAGGATTTTCTTTAGTGGAAAAACAAAGAGTCCATGTTTTGATCTTTTCATCGATTAGCTGATAAAACAAATAACAAACACTTACTGAAACCAGTTTTCAAGGTGATACGAAAATTACTCTGTAAGAATTATTAACGACTGACCAACCATCTTCTGCAATTCTATGTACAGAAAAGTTTCAATTTCAAAAGGGTTTAGCAGTGTTTTTATTGTCACCATCAAACTTGATGCTCCACTGTATCAAAAGGCCATTTGTTGTCAGGAAAAAGCTTTTCAAGTCATCTGGAAGGATACACATGTTCTTCTGTCAAACACAAAAAAAAAAATGAAATAACATCATTATTTGAGCAATTAATTAGTTTTTCTACATCTATTTTGGTGTAATATGTGTAAAAAACTGATACTCTTAACAGATGCCTTTTTTGGTTAGATTTTTTCTAGTTAATTATTAATCATTTATTAGCTAATTGCTATGTTGCAATGCGGCAAAATATTAGTAGCGGCCTTGGTAGCGACCTCGTTCCCAGGGTCCTCTCCTACTCGGCCCCCATGGCGAGAGAGACGCCACTGGGGCCAAATAGGAGAGGACAATGGGAACAAGGTTGCATAAGTAGGTGGGGATCTAAAAGCTAGGAAGTTCTTTTGGTTCTATATTTTTCCTTTGTTTTCTGTGGAAGTAAAACCCAGGGGAAATTCTTGGCTCCCGGACTTTACTGTCAGCCCTGTCAGGTGATAAAACCAAATATTTGTTTTTTACTCTCCCAACAATGCAACACCACTCTACAGAAATTTAACCCTTTATTCAATAGCTCATTGATTTACTTATTAATGTGGTTGATTAGAAATAAAATTAACAGTTTGCTGATCACTGCAGGTGAGCAACTGACCCAGCAATGATAGTAACGAAAATCCTCAACCATTTACTGATTATCAAATACCGTAAAATGTCTGACCTGCTCCCATGTGAAGATGATGTGTTTTTCTGCAGGCTGCCTATCCAGTAGACGCACATCTGTCACACCAGGCTTCTTTTCTACAACAAAATTTACTTTCACTAGAAAAAGGTGACTAAACTCTTTATCACTTGCTATTTTTTAATTTCTGCCCGCTACTTTGTGTTTCCAAATTTCTCGATGTTGCAGATGATTCAACGGTTGTCGCTTATGTGTTTGCTGCCAAAACGAGTATTACCATTCTTGTTCTGATTATTATACATTTATATATATTAGTTTCAAACTTACCAAGAGATCGAACGACTCCTAAAGTCATATTATCGAACAATTCCCTTACTCGACTTTGCTCACTCAAGGACGCCATTTTGAATCCATGGGCGACAGCCTTCAATGTGGACAGTCCCTCCGTTGTGGAGTGGGGTGGAAACGCAAATTATATGTATATTTGAATTGTTCTCTATTTTTTAAAAATATTTTTTTTATGAAAAAGCTTTGAAAAAGTTTATTAACAATATGTCATCCTTAACCTTAGTGATGCAAACAAAGCCATGATAATATTTGCGAGTTTTTTATTTTTCTCTACCCCTCCCCTACACAGCCCCTGCACCCAGGGAAAAAACGAGCACGGAACCTGGGAGCAAAACATACTCGAACAAAATGGCGGCAAATTCGGCTGTGGAGGTTATCGAACCAAACATGCAAGACGAAATACTCGAAACAACAAGTCCCATAGCATCGGGGAGATTAACTTTAAGTGACACAAATGTAGCCGAACAAGCCGAAATTACAAATGAAATTGTGGATGAGGTGGAGGATGCAGAAATAGACTCGCTTTTGGAACTCAAGAAGTGCAAAGAATGGCTTCTTCAACAGAAGATAAACCAACAGTCAGAGTTGCTTGTTCGTAAGTTCTTAGTCTCTACGGGTTTGTAAATTTTACAATGCTTAGCTTGGCAGTATGTGTCCAAGGTTCCATCTCATAGAATTCTTTACCATTCAGTGTTTAAATGATGGCGGGGCCATTTCATCGATCCCCGTACGTAATTTGTAATAGGCTTATATATATTTAGCTAGGGTTAAAAGCGAAGCTCTCTTTAATATTTATAGCTTACTCAAACAAAATATAATATATAGATCTAGCGCGGATAAAAGCGAAGCTCTCTTTAATATTTGTAGTTTGCTCAAACAAAATATAATTTATAGATCTAGCAGGGATAAAAGCGAAGCTCTCGTTAATATTTATAGTTTGCTCAAACAAAATATAATTTATAGATCTGGCAGGGATAAAAGCAAAGCTCTCGTTAATATTTATAGTTTGCTAAAAAAAAACAAAATATAACATATCGTATAATGCTAAGCGGCGAAGACGACGAGAACGGCGACAAAACAACAATAGGTCTAATTGGAAAAGGAAAAACAACTTTGCACGTGCAGCACATTTTTTTGTACATTTCTTTGCCGTTGTTTTGCACGACTACAACTTCGTAATTACACGTTAACACGTTTTATGGAGGAAATGTCGTACGTGTTCTTGTTCACACTTTTTTCACCTTGAAGGCCGCTAGCATTTCTCATTTTCTCTCCGCAACTACAAAATTTTCATGTTGTTCTTCCAACAAAATTTGTCTCCTTTGCTTTTTTTTATTTCTTGCTCTAGCTCTCTGTCACTCTTTTTCTCGTTGAGCTTCTCTGGCCTTTCGCCTACTTTCTCTTTTTCTCTGTCTTTGTCTTTCTCTATATTCCAAATTTATTGACGTGACAATAAATCGAAGCTGAATACTCTAGAAAACACAGACACAAAAGTAATTTTTGCCTTCTGTTTTTGACTTTATTGACTCTTTAATTGTCTAGGTGGCTATGTGATTTCTCACCTTGCATTGCATTAAGTTATTTTACATTGGTATGCCTGTGGTACAGACGGGTGGGTGAACAGTTACGTGGCAGCAAGTCACTACCAGAATTTCTCGGATACATAGATAACCATGCTTTCCTTCGTATGGTGCTCTGCTGTGCACCTGAGAGCTCCACTAAAATCGTGTTATTCCAAAGAGATGGTGAAGACAAGGAGAACAGTAAAAAACAACAACATTAGCAAAAAAAAAAAAACAACTTTGCACGTGTAGCCACACTTTTTTGTACATTTCTTTTCCATTGTTTTGCACCACTACAACTTCCAGAAACTTCCTAGTTTCACATTTTTTTAGAGGAAATATTGTATATATTCCTGTTCACTTTTTCCCACTGCTGCTCATTTTTACTTCGGTGGCCGCTAGCATTTCTCATTTTCTCACTGCAACTATAATCTTTTCATGTTTTTCGTCCAACAAAATTAGTCTCCATTGTTTTTATTTCTTGCTCTGGCTATTTCTCTGTTATAATCCAAGTTAAAGTAGGCATTAAAATTTAGTCGAAAGAAAAACTTGGCTTTGTTCTTGTTTTTTCTCTCGAAAAGTCCTGGTGGTCATGTAATTTACTGCCAAAATGTGCGTGGTGCTTGAAATGCAAAATTTCACCCCCAGCTTACATGCAGTGGTAGACGTACTAACAGAAGTATGTCAAATGGATGATTTTGTTAGAACCAAAATTTTTTGGATACAGCAATAACCAGATTTTCTTACTCATGGTACTCCACTACTTGTGCTTCTTGCGCACAAGAGCTCTGCTGCGAAGTTCCTTCCCAGTTGACGCGATTCTCTGAAGCATCTAAAATAATACAAAACTTGCAACTGTGAAGGTTGTAAGATGATGTAAGACTCGAGACGAGATTATCTAATAGGATGGAGCAGAAAATAGACAAGTAGACAGTTAATGAAGACTTTATGCCTTTTTTCTCTTCTTTTTAAGGGGTGTCATGTCAAAGATTCTTATCAAGGGGGCCAGGGGAGGGAGTTGTGTGTACATTGAAATAATGGAATAGCCCTTACAATGTCAGGTGTGCATACAGCCACTAAATTGATGTGATAGCTTGAAGATGAGATACACAACTGCAAAAAGAGAGGAGCCAACACATCAAAGTTCCCATTCATAATTTGTAAAGCTGTTTCTCTTTCTTACTTTAAAATTATCCAATACATTTTAGGGGCCACCCAAACTGTCACTTACTGTCACACACTGTCACAGTTAGGGGCCACCCAAACTGTCACTTATAAAAGCTGGCAGCAATTTCTTATTAAGCATACATTAGCAGAACCATATTGTTCGATCAAACTGCCTCAAACACTATGTATTGCACAGTACAAAGTGGGTGTGTCTTTTTTTATGTGGCTTGATGAACTTCCTGTATGCAAATCTCAAACACTTGTTACAAGCTGAAAGTAATCTTACAGGCCTCAGATTAACATGCCATTTTGTAACATGTCATATTATGTGATTTGCAGGTCGTCTTCAACAGCGAGAGGACCTGCAGCCCTCTTCTAATGAATCTACTCAATCGGATCTTTATGAAAGGTTAGTATATACATAATTCAATAAACGTTGCTTTGGCAATTGGTCACTGGGCATTTGGGCATACAAAACGATGTGTGGATGATTTCTTTGACTGACCACCAAACAATAGAACAATGCAATGATTTGCTTGAGTGACCACCAAACAACAGATTCCTGGTGCACAATTACCAATGCTCATAGCAACCTTTATTGAAGAGGCCGACTATTATCCATTTTATATGTCCTGCCACTGTGGGCCTCCTTTGTGGATTTACAGTATACCTTATTGAGATCATGTGCTGCATTGTAGGGGGTGTCAACCAGTGTGCCAGCCCAAATCTCAGTCAACATGTTGGTTCCTATATTGGTCAAGTATCAGTTGAGTCTTGGATGAGTCTCGTTTGAGTGTCACTGGTAGTTGGCCACCAAGGTCCATCATTTGACAGTCAGTTTTTTAATAGTCATTCGATACTTTGTCAACAGATCACCGACATATGACCGGCACTTAGTCAATGTCATATTTCAGGCAGCTATTACAGCTCCTGAAGTCTGTATGAGGATCTATAGGCAAAACTGTCTGTTCGAAGGTCAATCATCATTTTGAACTCAGGAAATTATTCTTGTATCGCTTGTCCTTAAGGAAAGAATACGTGTATTACTAGTAATAACCAAAGGTTACACAGTGTAGGCGACAACAATCTAAGGTCAAACGCTTTTGCTCCAATGCAGTGAGTGCTTTGTGTAGGTTTCTCGTGATAGATAATCAAAACATGCATGATCAGATTACAAGGGGCAGAAGGTCGAAATGTGCGTGATCAAACTGCATTCTGTGCATTTCATTCGTTCTTAGTGGAAGTCCAAACAAATGCTGGCTACATACATGCGATGCATGCGTAATAACAACCTGGATATTAGGATTGCGTACTCCTCTTATTGCCCACAATTAACATGATCAATGATCACGAGTAATTTTTTTGATATATACCAGTATTTTAGTTGAATTTTATTGAATTCTCTATTATCACTTTTCTTTTGTTGACTAACTATTTATTTTTTTTGTCACATCACTGCTTCTTTTTCTGAATTAGGATATCCAAGCTACAAGATCAGCTCTATTCTCTGTCCACAGCACGGTCCTATAAGAAGCTTGTTCTGGACAGGTTGGTTCTATGAATCTGTGATTGTCTTAACAAGTTGAGAATGAAATCTTATAGCAATTTTTTTTCTGCCTTTACCCTGCTGCTACAGTATTGCTTAACTCTGCCTTTACTAAATGTTGTAAATTCTTGTTGCCTCTTCTCTTAGGTAACTTATTGTTATGCAATAATTAATAAATGAAAACCATTTGGTTAAATTTTATGCATTAATTGCCATTGTGGCATCTCCTACATGTGGGAAGTACATGTAATCTGCATTTTCTTTAGGCAGATACAAAACTCGGACTCATTTTACCTAAGTGACCCACTTACTAGACAACAATGAATATTTATTGTTTTTACTATATATAAATGACTTGGTCCAGTCCAAGTTTTGTATATTCTTATGTGGTAGGCTTGACTTACAGTTGAAAAAGAACATGTTATTTAAAACTGTTTCATCAGTCCTTAATTTTAAGAAAGCCACATAAATACATATGTAATTAATGAAATTTTGATTATATCATGCTCAACTACAGTTCATTGGTAAATTATTAACCAATGAACTGTTCACAACGTTCAAAAGAATTCCTATCATTTTGATTGTATTGATCAATAAAAACGTTGCATTAATTTATTCCATAACAATTTGCCAACAGAAAACAAAGGATTGTGCACTTTCATGGTGCTTTGAACATAAACTGCAACACTGTTGTTTTTATCATTGATGTTTGCCGCTTTTCATAACCAGTCTCCTCTAATAACTATGATACCATATATAAATGAAAGTTTGCAAAAAAGAGATACAGTACTACTGTGTGTTTCATGTACCGTTTTTGAATTAGGATGATGATGCCTGTTAGTACAACTTCACACCTTTCTGGGAGTCCTAACCCACTCTTCTCTTGCTCTCCCCTGCCCCCCTTCCCTTCCACAAAAAAATACCATTACCAGTGTGCATTCTTTACTTCAACCTAGTTATCCAGGTACTGATTTACATATTTGACATGTACATAAAAGCATTTGAGAAAAATCCAGCTTGTATTCAAGTAAGTTATTGCATGCAGTTAAGAGTGTAGCACATCCAATATGAATATACCAATGCATGTATTTTTTTTCCTGCAGGCTTTTGTGTGGTGATCAGCTGATCAAAAAACTGTTTCCAGATGTTGTCACAGAATCTCCAACTGAAGAACATATTGAAGAAATGAAGTAAGGCTTAGAGGAGCTTTTTATTAGTATGACAAATGAAACATGAACTGTGCAAAAATCAGTCATTAATTCAGATTGTACTAGTTACTGTACTTTTTATGAATGAATTTTCCCTTAATACTGCATGCATCATACGTGCATCGCATAACTGGCACCTTGAGCTTGCATGCAAAGAAATGAAATGCAAATGCAAAATCAGTGCATTGCTTTTGCTTGGACAGAACAAAACTGAGTCCAGAGTAAGATGACTGGTCTGCTCTTATGTTATTGAGTGAATGTGACCTTTTTTCAGAGCTTTTGCCAGGCTGTGTGAAAAACAAAATAAACTCAGCACAGACATTCTGATAGAACATGAGGTAAGCTTTATTTCTTAGATAAAGTTGATTAAGAACGTTCAGAACTTTCATGCTGCATGAATGTACGTGCACCCTCTGTATCTCGAGGTTAACTACTACCAACAAAAAAAAATATGAAGTAGGAACTGGATAGTAGGCTCCTATACAGAAGTTCTTTTGCTTAGTACCATCTACTTCGCTGGTAACAAGGAATAAAAACGTCATAGCCTGATGCAGTCCAGCTGTATGGCGATCTTCTTTTCCCACCTCTGCCCCTTCTCTGTGCGTGTCTTGTTAAATTCGCTTTGCTGTTTTATTTTCTCGTCAGCGTTTCCACTATAGGAGAGCTTGGCACGGGCTTCGCTAAAGTAAATGTCATTGAGTGAGAGAAAAGGGGGCAACTGCGAATTTTCATCTTACCCTGTACAAAGGTTTCTTTGTACACATTCGTGCTGGTGATAATTCGGCTTACATAAGATATACTTAATACATGCATGATCGGCAGCATCTTATTGATCATATTACAAATTTCCCTTAGGCTTTGTTAGAAGCTCAAACTGTGTTAGACAAAGTTAGGCAACAAAGTTATGGTGAGTAACTTAAGAAGTTATAGTGAGTAACTTGAGGTACTAAGGGCCAAATATTTAAACGAAGTCTAACTTAAGCCGCGGTTTAACGAATCTTTGAACCTCCAGATCTCATCTGGGTTGTTTTAAAAAGACAAATGCTTTTCTAGTCTTCTCTATATGCCAGGGCTCGAAATTAACGCTCGCAAACTCGCAAAATGCGAGTGATTTTGATAATCTGCGAGTAAGAAAAATATCCACTAGCAAACGATTGCGAGTTAGAATTATCCATGTCTCCCAAACAAAGGGAAATAATTTGCTAGTGGTCTCACCAGTTTGCTAGCGGAAAAAATGTTACTAGCAAAACTTTGCAAGTGCACTAAAAAGATAACTTCGAGCCCTGTATGCTTTCATAAAACTGTTCACAATAAATGATGTTTAGATATAATCGTTGGGCAAATTAAAACTGATGACTTAGAACACGGTTTTGTTGATCACTGGCTAAACAGCAAAACTCTCTGACACGCGTTAGCGTTGTCAAAACTTCACGTCCACATTTTAAAGCAGTACTGTAAAGTTTTGACATGTATCCTCTTTGAAGAGCGTTTTACTTTTAGAAAAGGTCCGTTTTCGGTGGACAGTTTATCTGGATTTAGTGGCATGAACTCTGGGTCTAAACTAGAGAATCGCGTTACATTTTCATATTTATCCGGCGTATTGTGCATAGGATCTAACTCTATTGCTTTTTGTCGTTCTCCCGGTTGCTGTCGCTGGAGTGGGTTCAGTGCTAAAGCCGTCTACTACTGTTGAAATAAATCGGTAATAGTACCAGTAACTGATTTCATCATCCTTTTGTTTCCAGAGAAAAAGAAAGAGAACAGAGGGCTTATGAAATCTTTGCAGGTGAGTGTGTCATGAAAACATCTTTTAGAGGAGAAAATTGTAACTAAATCATAGTCTAACCTTCATGTACGGCTACCTCCCAGAAGCAAAAAAATTTCCCTATTGGTCTAAGGGCCTCTTGGTGGGAACTTTTCGTAAACGACCACACCCACTTTTAGGAGCCTAGTGATGTTTCCATTGTCTTTATTCCCCCGTTTGATCTCTGACTCGCGCGCGTTTGTGTTTCATCGTTAAACCAATCAAATTCTTTTACTCTTGTTCGTTTGTTGTTTTGTTTTGATCGTGCTTAATGATTTCAAGATCAAACGAAAGTCGCTCTTTTAGGTTAGTTTCGAAGTGTTTTGGCTACTTTATGTGAATGAATTCTACCCCACTTAACGTTAGTTAAAAAGCCGCTTTGAAAAGTGGCAGAAGACTTTCTAAAACCTGTTGTAAAGTGAAACGCGGTTTAAAACCCTTTCCCATAAAAAGCTGCTCTTGATTGTTATAATTATTACCATTATTTTTGACTACGCACAAATGAGAGCACTTGGTCTGGAAACAGCTGCTTAAAAGCCAGTCTTTAACTGGGTTTTCTGTTAAACCTGGTATAATTGAGCATGTTTTTGTCGGTTGAACGTTTGATCAGAAGTACCATAGCATCCCTTTCTTGTTTCGCAGAGTTTAAAGGAAGATCAAGAAGTGGCCTCTTCCTCTAGAACGGACAACGCACAAATTCAAAAGTAAGTAGGAGTTGGATAAAAATAATGACAAAAAAACATTGACGTGTTGGTGTACTGTCGCAATTTGTAATAATCTTCGCACTTTGTAATACCTGTCGCGATTTGTAATAAATCCATCGCACTTTGTAATACCTGTCGCAATTTGTAATAAACCGTGTCGCACTTTGTAATAAAAAAGGTGTCGCAATTTGTAATAACAGTCCATCGCACTTTGTAATAAACTAAGCTGTCGCAATTTGTAATAATTCCATCGCACTTTTTAATAACTTTTTGAGAGTAATTAAACTTACTTCGTCAACATTAATATAACGCCAAAATATGCATGGTACTTCATAAACAAAGATGGAGATGACGTCTGCTAGCACGTAACATATCCGCACATTCAAACATTTAACTTTATTCACAGTCCTAAACATTTTTTTAGATTAATGTTGATTAGTTATCTGACTTACGAAATGCTGTATTCTTGAACCTTGCTATTGTACTAGGTGGCTTGCATTCAATGGTTACCCGGCAGGTGTACTTCCTTATATGGCCAATACGGGGATGTGCCTCTGGACACATTGCCAGAGTAGAGGATCTAGACAGAGCTAGACACACTAGACACAAACAAGCCATTCTTAAAAAGCATTTAATTTCCGCTAATCGTAACATCCATCCTACATCATTCGAATAAGGACACCAGGAGAGTTCAAGCTTTCCTTGTTAGATCTTATAACAGGTTGACACAACACGTGGTACACCGTTCTTGTCTAACGAGCAATCTTAAAGAAGTAATAGTGGCTTCCAACTTAATCAAACGAGGCCTGGAAAGATTCAAAATGTTTACTGCAAATAAAAAAAAACGTCACCAGTGGCAAACCTTCGAACCACAACAGAAACCTAACCACAATATCAAATTAGTTGCTGGACAATACCTTCGTATGTACCTGTTTTTATAACACTCAATTGGGGTCTTACACTGAGCCGGCTGGGCATTTGGTCTATTATTCTCACTTGATTTGGTCTCATATAGGAACAAAAGGAGTATTCATTCCATCTTACAACAATTCTTTTCTGTAAGGAGTCCTCTAAAACAAATACCATAGGGATGGTAAAAAATTATCCTTGCCTACGTATATACAACTCGTAAGACCTTGCCATTCTTCCGAGCGTGTTCTGGATTAGTGTTTTTCTACAAAATGGAAAGGATGGAATAAATCATCCATTGCTACTTGAGTTACTTTATCTAAGGATCAAACCAAAGACACAAGGCCAACAACGTAGAAAATGATACCCTCAAAAACCATACCCTATCAGGCGGTACTTACCTATCTAGCCCATCCATATATGGGATTATCCTCCCCCACCATCCCCCCCCCGAAGACGACGAGGTTATTCATGAATTTTCTGTTGTTAAATGTTCCCTTTCTTATTTAAATATTTTTGAATTTAAACGCGATTCATATCTTTTTCGTGATATGTCACAGGCAGTTTCATGTCTTTCATAAAATCGTTTCTAGTTAGTTACGTGATTAATCCAGGCAGAAAAATTTATAGCGGAAGACATGCATGTTTGAACAAAGAAAATGTTACGGACATGTTACATGCTAGCAGACGTCATCATCTTTGTTCATGAAGTACCATGCATATTTTGGCATTATATTAATGTTGACGAAGTAAGTTGAATCACTTTCAAAAAATCATTACAAAGTGCGATGGAATTATTACAAATTGCGACAGCTTAGTTTATTACAAAGTGCGATGGACTGTTATTACAAATTGCGAGACCTTTTTATTACAAAGTGCGACACGGTTTATTACAAATTGCGACAGGTATTACAAAGTGCGATGATTATTACAAATTGCGACAGTACAGTTGGTCCAAAAATTAAAGTAAAACCGTTCAGAAAGAGACGACTTTTTACGCAAACGTCACTCAATACTGAGTGAACTCGCTCTGCTTCAAACTTTATCCCGCTTATTCCATCTCGTTCAATTGGTCAAATATTACTTTTTCTGTAGTTGAATTCTGAACTGTATGGAGGTTCAGGAAAAAAAAGCCAACAGTTGTCTTGTGTTCACGTCCTCGGCACAAAAGTGAAATAAGGCACTTTCACGCCGTAGTCGTACAGTGACGGCGAAGTGTGATGTACGTGCGAAGTTGTTGTTTTGCTAATTGAAACCTACTGGGCCAGCTATTTAAACGGAGTTTAGCCATTGTTTGACCAAACGGCGTTCTAAGCCATTTTCAGTTTGCCCAACGCTTTTATCTTAACACTATTTATCGTGAAAAGTTTATGAAAGCATAAGGTGTAGACTGGAAAAGCACTTATTTTCTTCAAAATAATAACCTACTATGGAAGAGATCTGGAGGTCCAAAGATTTGCTGAACGGTGGCCTAAGTTAGGCTTCATTTAAATAACCGACCCATTGTTTTTTGCCGTTCTCGTTGCCGTCGCCATCGTCATTGCTTAAGCTCCCTAGTAAGTAGTAAGCAGAATTTTTTTCACTCTTGCTATAAATTTGCAGTTAAGCTTGGATTCGTTTGACAACTGCGCTACCGAGAATTGCAGCCATTTGGTCGGTGTGTAAGTCAAAACACAACTTTCTTTGGGTTCCGATAAGCCCGAAAATCAGACTACAGGTTAAAGTAGAGGGTTGCGAGAAGGAAAGGAGGAAAGCGATGGTGCAGCCTTGATCTTTATAATGGCCACCTCGGAGATGTTTTTTAAACGCAAAAATTGGTCGAGTGGCAAGGCGTTTAAGGCGATGATGAGTTCAAAAACCCTGCTATCTCTATCTCAATTATTATAAATGTCAACGTTTTCTTTTCAGTTCCTTATTTTGACTTTTAGAAGTAGACTTGTGTTTTGAAAGACTTAATTATGGAAAGCTCTGAAAGGGTAATGAAATATAATGGTTCTGTTGATGATGCCTTTGAATTTCAACTAAACCGTTTCATGAATGCCTTTGCAATACGAAAAACTGTCAATCACGGATAGTTTACTTTCACAAGTTCTAGTGGTATAATACGAGTACATTTATTTAGCGGACATTTGGGTTCTGTACCTTTAGTGTCTGTAATAAAAGGTTGCAAATAATCGTCGTTATCATTATCATCTTCACCAGTCCTTTCGTTGTCCCGTGTCACACTCCCAGTGCACGAACAAAAGTTCTCCATTCAGGCCTACTTCTCTACCCAAATTCAGACCTTCTTAAAGAGGACAGACTGTTCCGTAATTGAGCCTTTAAAAAATTAAGTGAATTACAGCTTTCTCGTCTTTACCCTGCAATAATTTTGAACTTTAGACCTCCCTCTCTTCCAGGTTGAAACAGCAAATAGCCACGAAAGTAGAAAAGATAGATATCGTAAGAAATGTTTTCCAGGTAAGAACAGTTAGAGGTTTCCTGTAAGTTGCTTTCCGAAGGTCAGGGTTTGTACCGAGTATTGAATTCTGGAAAAAAGTCTGGGAAAAAGTGTGGAAAATTGAAATGAAAAAAGTCTTTTTTTTTTTCAAAACTGCAACAAGTGCTTAGTTACTCTTCCACAGCCAAATAATTCAATAGACCATTTCCGAGTTTGAAAAACCCTCACTTTAAAAACGAGACTAAATGAAAATTTTTCGTTGTTAATTCGAGCTTTATTTGCGTGAGAATAAAAAGTAATTTTCATATCAATGGCTTTGAACTAGCCCTCGCTTTGAAACAGAGGCTTGAAGCTATTTGGAAATGGACTATTGTACAGAACTGTCTCATATCTGCATTGCACGATGGTTACTGTATATTCCCAGTGTATCCCATCTCCATACGCATGCCGTAGCTACCACTTGTCTACGGTAGAGCTGGCGCTTAACGGAGTGTTTTTGCACTCGTCTCGGCAGTAAACGGCGGGGTCGATAAGGATGATCGCAAAAGAGTCCTATCGCCTGGGGCTAGGCCATGCTGATGAGTCCTGATGAGGACGTAGCAGTTGTCCATGGCTGCCACTGCCGGGATGATATGGTTGTGCCATACCCCGGAGGTGGTACATGTGCTTCAGTGCTGAAATTGGTATCATTCTGTGAAATGCCCTGTTCCCGCGTTTGTCGAATGTTTCCGGAAAATGAAATTATCCTTTTAAAAAAGTCGGAAAAAAGTCTAGAATTTTGCATCCAAAGATCTGTGCAAACCCTGAAAGGTTCGGCTCTAAAAACAGCAACATATTTTAAGTGGAAATAACCAAAGGTTACGGAGTGAGGGCGACAACGATCGAAGGTTAAAACGCCCTTGTACCCCTCCTTACACCAACGCTTTGCTTTGAGTAGGGTTCACGTGATAGACGGTCAAAACAGGCGTGATCGCGTGCAGATTGCGTCCTGTGCGTTCCATATATTCTCAGTGGAAGTCCAACGAAGCTGGCTTTATACGTGCCGGGCATGCGTAATAGCAACCTGGAGGTTAGTTAGAGTTGCAGGCTCCTCTTGTCCCCCGCACACGGTTATGCATTGCAATAAGCATACAATTTGAAAAGTGATAACAGTAATTAGATAATTTTTATACGTAGAGACAACGGAGTTGCCTCTCTTCAAAAGAGATTAGCCTAAAAGGTTTTATCTGGAGAGCTTGAACTACCGTCTGGTAGGGATAGAGTTCTTTAACAGGACGGAAATTGTCATTAGTGATAAACTCTCCTTTGTCGAATGACCCCTCAGACAGAGCCGCAGGTAACCGTCGGTCATCGGACAATATTCGACTAAACTATTCCCAGTATCCAGAAATATCCTTACCGTAGTTAGATAGAGATTAAATTCCAAAGCTGAAGATCTGTAGAGTACATCTGCTTAAAGTGAAGAGTTAAAAGTCACAATAATGAATGGCCGGCACACTTTGACCTGATTTTTGATTTGTCCCGATAAAATGGTGACCTGGTCGGACAAAAAAAAATTGCAGTCCTGGCCTCAGCTACACTTGGCGGCACTTTGCCCTAAAAAGCCTCTCTGACCTTTTCCAACCTACAAAGGGGAAATAAAGCTTTCTCTCCACCACTCCCTCCATGCAATGTTATGTCGCTGTTCGAGCATCCTGTAGAAAACAACAAATACCCCAACTTTGAATGGAGGAGACGTGAGGTGTAGATTGTTTTGTTCTCCGAAGTTACCCCATTTGAGGACAATTTCTCAACAACAATGTCGCCGACAGCAAGTTCTGTTAAGGGGTTCATGTCCTTTAAAATTATGATTCTCCTATGTAGGGAGCGGCGTCATTGACTTGATGTTTGTTTTTCAGGGGGTCATCGTCGGTAGTGGTCTTGACTGGGCGTCTGACAACGACATGAAGCGACTTGTTCTCAGTCTTGGAGAGGTTTTGGAATTCGCTGCGTAACGCATGCGCCAATTCAGGAGGAGAGCTCAACTGCCATCTACCACAAGTAGGAGAGAGGATCATTTATGATACACATACCTAGCCTTTCCCCAAAGCTGAGAGACGTGGACTGTATTTACCAAACTGTTTAAACTGTGGGATCTGGGACTTTGTGACGTAATGGACTGTACATCAAACACTAAAGTGGAGCCTCGATAACTAGAATTCCCCGCTAACTCGAACTAAGTCCCATTTCCCTTGGATTTCATCCCACTTTTCAGTCAGTTTTACTCCGCTAACTCGAACTAAATTCCCTTTCACTTATCAAATATTCACTGAAATTTACGTCAGCAACTCAAATTTTGTGCAACTCCACGCGAATGCCATCCATTAGCTGCCAACACTCGTCAACATTACAGCAATCTGATTTTAATTGGTGCAAAAAACGGATCACCTTTTATCATAAAAAATGCCTTATGAAATAAGTTAAATTTTCACTGCACTATGCACTGAAGGGCTGAAAAATCACTAACTACTCTCAAGTTGTAACGTGGCAAATTGAATTTTTCAGTCGACCTCGATAACTCGAACCCTCGCTAACTCGACCTGATTTTCGTTTCTCTTCAGAGTTCGAGTTACCGGGGTTCTTCTGTGGTCATGGAAACAGTGTTTAAATTGTCCTCAAGTTGTTTGACCCCTGAGACTTGGCGGGGGATGAACATACTTAATGTCATGTGTGTTGTATTCTCTGTCATGGTAAAAGAATCCATGTCTCACACCACTCGCTGTTAGCTATGTATAGAGCGTTTTCAATCAGGTGACCAGCATCTATGCAAATTTATTGAAACAAAAGGAAGAGTTTACATAAGAGAAGAGTTCAACTCCCACAGGATTTGTTTGGTACACCAACATGGCCGCCCTTTTATTGTTTTGGAACACCAATATGGCCGCCGTGACGTCATGTGAAAACGCTCTTTAGGGACAATGAATTTAATTTACTAGTTTGTTGAAAGATTTGTCGTCACGGCTGTTTGAGAGGGAAATTTAAAAACCGCTCAAGAGAACCAAGAAATTCGGGCTTACAACAATAAAGCAGGCTGCATCAGCTGAAAAAAAAAACCACGGTAACTCGGAAACTACACTTTTCCTTACTATGTGATTTTGCAGTATTAGCCCGTGGTCACTACCTCTAGACTAAAGTATAAGAGCTCCAAAACGGTGAAATTGTGTCACTGCACCTTGGAGATAATCAATCACAGCAAGAGTTTTTTTCTAATTATAGTAAATAACTGTATCCAGCGTACGTACATTCCTCGCAGTTCCTAAAGGTCCTAAAAACTAATGCATGTTCCTGAAAAGTAACATTCGAGAATAGGCGCTTGATCAATTAAGGGCTTCAGATGCGAAATTTTCCCACTACATTCTGCATTTTGACGATAAGAATTTTTTATGTGGTTCCCAGTCATCAAAACAATTAGAATTGCTGATAGCTTTCACAGTATCGCGTATCTCTCGCGTCGAAAGTAAGATTTTTTTGCTAGTTTTTCTATTCGCTGTCGAATGTCGTTCTGTGGTGATTTCAGTGGTTGATCAGTAGAACTGAAGACACTTTGCGGAAAAAAAGAGTGAATTCGGTAAATTATTCGCGCACTCGCCCTGTAATCCGGAAATCACCCGAAAGACATACTGAAAATGGTCTAGCAGGTTAAAGGCGTGTTTCATGCGACCAATTCAATTATTAGTCCGTTTTGAATTCTGGAAAGTCTAGTCTGAAATGCGTAAAAAATCACATACTGTGGTCTCAAGGTGCACAAATGACATATTTTGGTCTGTTTCAGCAAGCTAGTGACACAAACCGACCCACAACCTCTTCCCCCCCCCTACCCCCACCAAAAAAAATTAAAAATTAAAACCAGAGAAAAACAGACCAGCGGTGAAAAGCCTTTCCTCCTTTCAAACAGACTTGAAACTTAAAACAGCAGGAAATATTTTACATGGTGCTAATGAAAAGAAAATAGTTTAATCCTGCGATGATGCATCTTCTATGGGCTTCCTGCAGTGGAATTATTTTATAATCCTTATTCTGTTATTATCACCTGTTTATACCTGCCGATAGCTTGCTTTTATCAGATCGATTTCAACCTCAATCATTAGGGACAATAGAGGGGGCCAATTGGAAAATATAGACTGGACTCTAGACTGCACTGGACCACACTCTGGACTCCCCAGCCCCCCCCCCCCCCTCCCAAAAAAAAAAATTACCCTACTAAATTAAAAGTCTAGACCAGTTCAGCCTCCTCCAGAGTCCAGTCCATACCCGGGGAGCAGTCAAGGGAAGTCTGGGTAAAGCTGTGCCGCCTAAGCCTTCAAACCCTTACCCTGTTTAAGACAGGAGATAAGTAATTTTTCACACTAAAATCGAGGAAATAGATATTGAGGAAAAAAATTATTGGTACTGCAAATGTAGACCGCTCATCGCAAGTCTTCGCACCGTTTGAAAGGCTTCCAGTCCAAAAAGAGACCTTGTTCAAGACGCTAAATAGTGAAATTATATACCCTGTTTAAGACTCAAGACCTTGAAAACCATACCCTGTTCAGCGGCACACACCCGCATAGGCCAAAGAAGGGAGTCCCTCCCGGGGTGGGGTAATGGGCCATTTCCAAGTTGCCCCAAGCCTCTCTTTCAAAGCGAGGCTAAGTGCAAAGCCATTGATATAAAAATGACTTTTTATTGTCATGAAAATAAAAGTCATTTTCAAAAGAAAGGTTTTGCACTTAGCCTCGTTTTGAAAGTGAAAATTTTTGGAACTTGGAAATGGCCTATTGTAAAAGGCTGCCCCTTTTGACACGTGCACCGCAACCCGAGGGAATTCTGGTACTCACGTGACCCAAGAAAACGCTTGCATCGTAGGCTGCTGTAAAGAGATTGCCATTCATTCACTTCAACCTAGGAGGCAGCACGAATACAGTTCCTTACGTAATCATAATGTATCTTTGCTCTGCAACCTCATTTTTTTCTCATCGTAGCCATCATAAAAAGTACAATTTCTCCGCAAGAATGGATATAAAATTATAGGTTGTTGTTGCTAATGTGGTAGAAGAATCAGGGAGTTTTGGACTCGAGTGGGATGATTTATATCTCATGATAGAATTCTGCAGAGTAAATTGCCTCTCGGTTAAGTCAGGGAGAAGGAGCAAGTTTTGACGTAGGCTTGACTTGTTGTTTGAAGCACTATTTTATAAAGACCAGTAACTGTTAAATTTTTCACATTTCCTTTACTAACCATAAACTGGTTTTCTTATTCGTTTCTACTCTTATGTTCTCGAATTATTTTTAGGAGAACCACTGTTTAGTTGGCACTTTTTTGCTGCTCTCCTAAACTCTTTAGCTCGTGAAGTTCATTTCATGAAGATCAGTATAATGTGGAGTATTATCTAAAGATTGCTTATCCAAACCGTCGAATTACTAATTTTCTTGTTTTCTCTCTAAATCATTTCCAATAAGTTTGATGATTAGTCATTGTCCCAGATGTTGCACTGTTCACTAGGTAGCGTGATTTTTGCTGTTTACTGTAACTCTTATAATCATGGACAGATAACGTAAACAAACTTTCTCAGCATGAAACTTTTGAAACTGGTCCAGTGGTTAAATGAAAACACTTGTTTTAAATCTTTTGCCCCGTCTGTGATGGCACAGTTCTTGTTCTTGCCCTAACAGGTATTTCGAATTGCAGACTAATAATATCTTGTTCTTAACAACAAGCGACATCTTTTTCTTGTTGTAAGACGTTTTTGTCATACCAGTCATTACGTAATGCATGTGGCGTAAGCCTGTGAGTTAACTTCGCTGTGTGGCGAGTTTAAAACCTTTTCACGATTCCAGCTAAGCGTTGCCAAAAAATAAATCTTTCTTAACTTTCAGCCCCCAAACACGGGATGAACGGGAAAAATGATTGTGACTGTAATGGGTCAGCAGCCAAGAATTTCTCAAATTTCCCTCTTCAAGGGTTTATCGAGTTCTGCTTTTTTTGGCTCTTTGGTTAAAAATAGAGCTGTAGAAACGCTTTAACATTAACTTAATTCCTAAATCCGAGGGAACGTGAGAGTTAACAGGAGCTTAATTTATCGAGTTGCCTAATTTGTGAATTTTTGCAAATGACTTGAATGTGGACAGGCAACGTTTCCCTTGTTCAAATTTACGACTTGAGATATTCGCCCATTAGCCAGAGTAGTTGTATACCGTAGTTATATTTGAAGTTTTAATTGATAAAAAAAAGAACAAGTCATGTTTTTAGCGATGAACGCTTGAAACACCACGATATGGACGAATTGCTTAGCATCTGCTCTGTTCGTGAATTCTTGACAAATTTCAAGGCCATTTTAGGCCATCTTTGCGGAAAGAGTACAGCTGGATATAGGGGAAAGGTCAATAGAAGAAAGTTCGAGTCACCCCGTCTATCGTTACCTTTAAAAGCAATAAAATGCCAATAATTTTTCTCATCTATAACAGTGGCGCCCATATTGAAATTTCTTGGCCGGCGGCATTGCATTCTTCTTGGTCAGTTTAGTGTATTCCCACGACTCTTGTACACGCATTGCTAAACTCTGTAGCTTCTCAGATCAATAAAAGGGTACAAAATAAGTCTGTAGATGAAATCTTAAGGTGTGGCCATTCAAATAAACGTTACTGACTCCTAGATTCCTATTGTCTTGTTTATTTGTTGTAAAAGGCTGTTGAACTTTTGAGACTGTGGATAAACTTCTTAACTGTGACCATTGAAGAGAATATTCCTTCCACTTGGTCCCATCTTGAGATCTTTTAAATGAAGCCTCTTGGCGCTGCCTTTCGGACGAAACAGCGGTATTTGCTTCTTAGGATTGTAGAAAGGGAAATTCAGACCACTAATAGTGCTGAAAACCGTTAAGACAAAATTAGTCTTAATACACGTTTGTATGAATAATAGTTTTGTTTAACAAACCAACATTGAGGCAGCCCTCTTTTGTTGTTCTATTGATTTCCTGTCGAGGAACTATTATTCTAGTTGAAAACTCATCAGAATACATGACATCGAGCTCAAGTTTAATGTAATAAACCTTTAATGGAAAGCAACTGTTTTCATGACATTCTCCACGTAATCTTTTATCAATGTTTTGGTTGTACGTTCCCTTAAGTGCATTTAAATTCACAGCAGATGTAGAATAGGTCACCGACTAACAGGAATCAGGAGTCTCATTCACGCCAGCAGTGCATAAAATTGGTTCTATAGCAAGGTCAATAACTTGAAGGCACCCTGCCGCAGAGAAACAAACTTCTTTTAAGTTTTTTAATCGCTATTGCAAAAAAATGTGGCTTTTAGCACGCAAGATAAAACAAATATTGATAACAGGAGACTTCATGCGCGCCTTTTTCCCAGTTATTCACGGTCATTTAGTAGTGAATGCTTGGCCGTAAACGTGCAAAAATTTAGACGGTAGTATGTAAACTGAGCATTGTCCAGAAAACCCTCCTCTTCATACCATGTTCAGCTTATCAGGATTATAAAAGCTTCCATTGACGCCCTTGTTACTTAATAGTCATTATAGTCTTGGCAAACATGGGATTGGCAAACCAAATTTCCTCTACTTGTGTTAGGATAAATAGTTGTAATGATATTTTAGGTAGAAATTAATTGGAGCTTGCAGGATCTGGCTTTCAAATGGGAAAAACACCTGTTACGAAATGGCCCATACCCCTCGTCAAGGGTTAACTAAAAGCATATTTTCTGCGTTGTGGCTTTGTGTTTATTCAGTAGTTTGTGTTAATCCTGTTCTTAGCCTCTCAGACGGGCTTGTCATGCCTTCCTACGATAATGTCTTATTGCATAGAGGCCAAATGAACTGAAATCTCTTATCTCTGTTTTTGAACGCTTTTCGCTGCAAGTTGGATAACGCACAACTGCAGCGGAAATAATGATAAATAGATTTTCAGTTAAATGCCAGTTTTGAACTACTAAGTTACAGGAGCAGAGTTCAGTAGTTATTAGGATACAAGAAGCGATGGGAGACATATGTGAAGGTCCAAAAACACAGGCGGAAGTCATTTAGAAAAGTCATTTCAAGTAGATTTAAGTCAAAATATCACTCTAGATAAAAAGAATTATTTCAACGCGAGAAGATGCAGTTGATAGTTAAGAAATACTTTTATTTTTTCCCCTTTTTATTTTCCCAGCTTTCTTAATTTCTTTCTTTTTTCATTCGCAGCTAAGCTTTACGGAAAGGCCAATAATTAAATCGTTTACCCAATGAAATTAGTAAGATTTTTTGTTGATTTCTATTGACCTAAGGAAGCCAAAACAGCATTGCTCGCAAACAGCCCTTATACGGAGTATTTATTGTATTTTTCCCGATTATTTTGATAATATCGTATAGACTATATAAGGCTCAGCTTTTCGTCCCGTCATAGAAATTAGTTAGACAAGAGATCAGACACAAGTTCTTAAATATTACCTACGCATCCCAATTCCATTTTTGGCAATTTGTCATACAGTGATTTCCACATTGAATTTTTTTTGTTCGTCTTTCGAATTTCCTTACTATCGATCTCTTTGTCAACATAACACACACAATATACATATAAAGTTTATTTAACGAGGGCAGCTACTTCATTTTACACATTCAATAGTGTTATCGATATAAGGCCTGGTAATATTGGGCTTTGTCAATTTTAATGCACAATAAATTGCTTTTTAACTGCTCTTTCCTAAACGAGACATTAAAAGACAAGGTCTCACGCATGAAGTGCAAAATTTTTAATATCTTTCGTCTTATTTCTGCGGTAATCGGAGGCGTTTCGGCAATTTATCCGTTTTTAACAAGTCGCAGCGAAAAACAAAAAGATTCATTATTACTCATCATTTTCCGGATATTGGAACTCACTTCTAATGGTTTTCTTGAAGCGTTTCTGTGTTACTAAATTTGTTTTGCAATACTGTTTCGCGAACATTCATGTGGATGGTCTTATTTCGCAAATTTTTATCGACAATGCGGTCGTTAACTTGATTGTGGTTTGTCCGCAATCTCTTCGCTCTATCTACAGGCGTTTTAAATACACATGAATCTCTGATTTGTCGCCTTGATTTAGTTTTGATGGAAATTCCGTAAATGCTTGGTTGACAACGCAGCGAAACGCAAAGAAAACCGGCAATTACTAATCGCCGCTCCGTGTTTTCGAAATAATCAAGTTTCGGCAATAAACGTTCTCAGCCCTTAATACAAAAAGTTGTCTCGCGATTTGATTAATTTTATCGCTTAGAGCCTACCTTAATTATACGTGAATAATCGCTAAAAGCTGTCACAAACTGAACAGCGATAATAAAATACTTGCAGGAAAGCTAGATGCGATAAAGTCATTTGTGTTCAGTGTCGAACTGCTCATTTTATGAGCTAACGTCTGTACAGAGCACGTTACTTTCGACCACTATTCGGTCCACTATTCTTTTCTTCTTATGCCTCAAACCATTTCAAAAGGGACCGAAGAACAAAACAAGACTTTGCATTGACACCAAAGTTATTTTCAGCTTGACTGCCCATAGTTATATCTTACTCTTCAATGGTCGCATTTATTCCATTTATATCCATCTATCGCTGCAAAAACTGATACCATATCAGTTACAACAAGTGATCTGACAGACAAAAGCGAATTAACGACTTGATTTTACACGACAAACAGGAAGATTGTGTTTAGAGTGTAGAACACAATAACGGGGCGCGCGTTTTAACTTTAATAAACAACAAAGAAACGTTTAATTAGTGAAGTTTTGAGTGGATAATTGTGCTGGAATGATCATTTTGGGCTGAGCAATTTCTTGTAATCGAACCGGAATTACCTAAATTAGCAACCCACGTTCGCGGGTGCAGTCCGGGTTTATAGGACGCATTAGCCGACCCTGTCTGTTTCTCGAACGCATTGCCTCGTTCAATTCCGTGGTTTCCGGCCTATCATACATTTGAATTCGTTCCTAAGTCGGGTTTTGTTTTGACAAGCGTTTTGTCCCGATGTTATTACTTGATTTATTAGAAAAATACAGTGGATATAATCACAAAAGGTGAACGAGCCAATCAGAGAGCGCCTTCTCACAAGACCCATTCTTCCAGACGATTGCCTTGTTTCGCTTCATTTTAATCGCGAAATTGGTAAGATTAGTGGCTTGTGAAGGCGATCATGCGATGAGAGCTGTTGTTAGTTGTTATAAGTACCATCTTGACCTCAAGCGCGACACAAGTATACTAGAAGTGTTTGTCCGAGTATCTACAATCAAAGCTACTTGAAAAGTGCTAACAAGTCGGCGGGCGGAGAAGTGGACCCGCTTGTTCGACGTTTTCGGGTGCAATCTTCAAGCGCCCTCCTTAGATTGACAGATACAAGCCATTAAGCAATCACACGAGTCTGTACATCTCAGAGCTTTTCACCGAGACGTGTTTTTTGGAGCCGCGTTTGGACAAACGGCAAACAAAAAAACGATGATTGCACGCGTCTGCCTTCTGTCTTTTGTCTCCTTAATCGTTCTCGCTGCGATCGACGGGCAAAGAAGAACGAGGTGGGTATGAGTATTGTTTCTCGTTTGTTTCAATGTGTGAAACTTTCACCATGAAGCGAGAAGTGGTCGTTGAAAATTGATGCTTCGATGGCGCGTGTCGTCCAAGAGCTTGTGTATATGCGCTTTCACTCGACCTGCGCGTGCAACGAACATAATTCACTACACACAGTCTAAGCATTCGGCACCTGGAGTTAAAAGTTGTATCTTTATCTCTGCAGGCAAATAAACGAGGACGCCAATAGGTTTTGCTCGTGGCTCAAGGGTAACAAACTGAGAAACTGTCTATCTCACCCGTTGTTAGGGCTGAGCGCTCGGGAAGGTGTCGAGGAAGCCCTAAAGGAGTGTAGAAGTCATTTTACTGATCGTCGATGGAATTGCTCGGGAGTCACCATCGCTGATGTTTTTCAAAACGAAAGAATGCTCAAGGCTGGTGAGTAGCGAATTCACGTACACATGATCTAAAGTTAATTTCCTTTTCTTCATTCAACACACATCTCGAGACAAACCCTCCCTCCCTCCTTCGTTTTCCGCTCTGCGACCTACCGCTGTTGTATAAGGTTATCATGAATTTTGTGAGCTCAGATTTTCCTTTTACCCCCAATTTAAGCCTATGACAGAAATTATTCACCCGGCTTTCCTTCAAGGAGGCTTTGAAAGTTATTTGCTTCGGGTAGTACGTGATTCTATCGCAGCGGCACCAACTGGAAGGCACATGTGTTTTTCCCTTTACGCGGAGAACAATGTAAGGAAATATTTTGTTTCAGAAATCCGCTTTAATTCACCTTCAGAGAATTGTAACTGGCCGTGTCTTTCATGTCAAATTCTAGTCTGGAATAGCTACAACAGAAACTAAAGTTACGTTGCGTGGCATTGCCATCTTACCCTCAGGCGCTCAACTGGGACTCGCGTTCCTTGACGCAGATCTCTCAGTGTGAACATTTTTGAACCGTAGGTAGCCCTTTGAGCAGTTTTATCGGCTTTATTCAGTTTTCAGAAAGCCCAGCACGCGCTTCGAGACCTCTGAGTTGCAAGCTAGCCTTTCAACAACAAGTTTTGTGCAGGCGACTTGTTGACGCAGATCCTTTGCTTACTGCTGAAAGATCGTGTCTCAGGGTATTTTTTTTTAGTCTTCGGTGTTCACCCTTGCCAAGCCACAACGTTGTTACACGCTTAAAACGAGTCTAACGGGCTTACAAATGTCTCGAAAATTTGCATCATGCCAAAGGTTTATCCGATAGTCAAACACGTCCATTTTTGACACTAGCTTTCGTTTCAACCCGTTGTCTTGGGTACAGTTTTCGCGCAATTTCGCGCAGAAAATTGCTTCTTCTCAACGCATACCTAGGATAGATTTGGCTCTCTTTGTTGTCAGCATAAACGAAGTTCATTCCTGGATTTGGCGGCCTTTGCTAGATAAATATGACTTAAGACATGACCACTGTTTTCTTTGAAAGTTACACCAAGGTTTTTACAAGGCCACCACTAGAAAACGCGTTTTTGATGACTTCCTATATGATAAACGGCTGTTGGAAGTGTAAGCGCCGAGTAAGTCTCGTAGAAGACTCGTGCGCCATCTTTCCCCTGTTAACCACCTTATCTTGGCTGGCGCAGACGTTGAAATATGTATTTGAATGTGTACATAGTGTAGATAACTTAATGCTACTCATGGTTTGCTGTGACAAGAAGTGTCAGTATGTTTGCAGCGTTCGTTGTATCGCTAATCCTTGGGATCGTTTCAAGCTCCCTATCATAATGGCTTTCTTTCATTAGAGTAATCGAATATCAGCGTAACTCTAGCTTTTTAATTTTCCGGTCCTTTCAACAATTAGCTATGAAAAAGGCGAAGAAATTTTCAAAACAAACATATTAGGAATGAAAAACACAATAGTTGAAGTACACTCTCTTTCACTTGCACCCATTCGTGGACGCGCCTTCGCGACATTCGCGCGAGTAGAAGAAAATTAATTTCCGTTTTACTATAATCGGTCATTATGAGAGGTCCTTGAGTCGTGTTTAAAGCGAATACCCACAAGAACGTAGGCATTCGTTTCGTAGGAAAGGATTAGATAGCGGAATGACCCAAAAAGTTAGTCAGCATGTGCGTCACTTTGTTCCTCGTTTCCTGTGCAGTGTGGAATTCACCACAACAAAAACTTAATTGACACCATACAAATTAGTCTGACTGGCTTTTGCCTTTGTAAACATCCTAACACGAAATTCGTTTCCTTTTGAGCTTTTCATGAAGAAATTAGGAGCCAGCGTGTCTATTGTTTTCATCAGATTGGAGCGTTGTTATCGTGAATCACAGCAAGATTTTGGACATGATGTTTCCCTCCGTCAATACCACTAGAACACTTAATCTTTTGCCACCCCAAAAATGATCGATCAACCTTTTTACCTCTTGGGTCAACACACTTCTGACAGCCTTTTCTAAAAGGAGCACCATAATCCTGAAAGAGATTTATTCCCGCAAACTTATCATTAATCTATTGACAAATAATTGCTTTCCTTTCTCTATTATAGTCTTTATAACCCTCCAGGCAATTAGCTCGGCTCTTTTCATTGCCTTTGTCCCTGTATGAAATTGTCGTTCTCGAAAATTACCCAACGAGAAAATGGGAAATAAAAAACAAGACAAAACTACAGGCGGCAATTATAAAGAAAGAGCGTAATTGAAGGTCGTTAAAACTATCACAACTTCAAACAACGTTTTGTAATTTTTCTTTAAACAATGCCTTTGTCAGAACGGGACATTTGGCGTTTGCCTTTCGTTGTTTTGGAAGTATAAGATTTGAATTCTTTGGTCTTCCTGCAATAAAAGCCTTGACGTGATCTCTACCAAAACAACCTGAGGGCAGCAGTTTTGTACTTATCTAAACATTTTAAATCTTTGAGGTGCTGATTGCACCGTGTGTTTGTTCAAAAATCGGAAAATGTTTATTTTGTTTATTCAATGTACTTGGTACTGAGGTAAACCATTGGATGGGAAGTATACAGTTATTCCATCTATCAGTTTTCGTGCCTACATGCGTTCTTTTCCATAGAGAAATTCGTTCCCTATAGACGTAAACATCTTTCTCCTCTCCCTTCAAAATCAATGCAATTTCAAGCAAATATCAAGAGCGAAAACAATTCAGTTAATGATCAGATGTCACTCTAGTCAGAGAGACATTTCTGAAAACTTAAATGTGAAAATAAATGTGCCATTCAATAAAGAAAGTCCATTACATGCGCGGTTTATGTTTCAAACCACATATTGGTCGCTTGCCTCTTTATGGTAAATCAAGACGTCATTTTCAGATTAGATCCTACTGTGTATAAGGGTAATGATAATACGATACATTTAGATACAAATGCAATGGAATCAAAGGAAATAGCAAATGACGTTCCTTGGGCTTAACAACAGCCACGAAAAAGATGTAAACGAGCTCATCATCACGTTGGAGCGTTTAACCTTTCGCTTCCTTGATGAACGTAAAGTCATGAAATCTTTCATTGACCTTCGACTCTGTAGAGTAAGGAGAACCAACGGAGAAGGCTTGTTTTTGTAGTTTTGCATGGTGCTGTTAGACTAGCCGCACAGATGGTTCTAACATTTGGGTGTGTGGTTAAAACCCTACGTTGTGATCCCTTGACGAAAGCTCATGAGCGGTACTTTCCCTTGGTTGTTTATCTTTGACTTTCTGCTAGATGGTTTTAATGGTTTTTAGACTGTGGATTGAATCCCGGAGCGTACATGCAAGTGAAAACTTTATCAGCAATACCTTCTTGTGGTAGTCACTCACTCACACGCGCCTCCTCTTCATTTCCATTGAGTCATGGGGCCTCTGCTAGTGTCCTGTTTTTCTTTGCCAAAGATTTAAGCAGCACATGGCTTTTTACAAAACAGGGCTGTTATAACCCTGCTGTACCTAGTCTGGCCCTATCCAGTAGACCACCCCTGCCGCCGCCCCTGTTGAATGTACCAGGAATGTAACGAGCTCCCGACGATAAAGTTCGAGGGTATAAAGATACGCCAGGCTTCCAGCCACTTCAAGGCACAGTAGCAATGAGAGAGTGTATAGGGTGCAACTATTCAAATGAAAACCACTATGAAACTTATCATTAGCTGTATTTCCTTGTATCCTTTGGTTTATTAAGCTGCACTAGAGGGTTCTCACTGTTGAATCTGTGGATAAAATCCTAAAGGGTGATCGTTCCAAACATGAAACCTACTGAATTGTACCCTTCTGTTGTGCTATTTATCATGTTCTTTAACAATTGTGAAGTTACGGATAGTATGCTAAAATGACTTGTGATTCTTCACTATTTCACGAAATTGAGCACGAACAAATTTAAAGTTAATATACCTGTTGTTTTTTCTTCATTACTGATGCATGGTTTCAAGACCCAAGATAACCACTAGAATTCATAAGATTTTGCCCTCCAGCTATGCGGGCTCCCCTTTGTACGTTATCTGTCCTCCATTCTTTAACAAAATTAATTCTTTTTATTTTACTGAGCAGAGGATTAAGATTGTTGCATCATAGCTAAATTGTCTGTTGTATCTTTTATGATTTCCGGTCTGGTATTCAACGTACTTTGACGTCAGTGCTTACGTTATTTTAATTCATTAACGACGATTATGTCTCACAGTAACAGGTTAATTTCTAGCCATTTTCTAAAGTTGTGATTAAGTTCGTTCCTGATCAAATGTGACATGTTTTAGCACTTGAAAGCCGAAGATTGTAAACTGATATAAAGACCATTAATTCTGGCTTAATTTGTTCATTGTTCGCCTGTTTTTTTGCACGCGTGAGTACGAAACAAAGAGGCCCGCGTTTTACTCTTGCGACTTGTAGACGCCGCCCATTTTTTTCTCTTTAAAGAAGACGAACATAAGCAGATGCAAAGACCTTTACGTAGCCGCAAAAATATTTTCTAACTACGACATCGAAGGAGGTAAATAGCCTTATTGGAAAGGGCCTGACAATTAAGAACCATTTTTATTTTTATTTTTATGATTAAGTTACTCCGCAGCAAAGAACCCCCCAGCACCTTCAATCAGTAAGGATTTGATTTACCACCAAAGTAGAAACACATTTTCCAACATAAGGGCAGTGCGACAAGAAAGTACGGCTCCCCAGTAGCTTTTATGTTTTCCATTTCCAAACTTGAACCTCCTACAACATAATTAACAAAACCATAGAAAAATACCACCACACAGCTATTTTCGTTTGAATGATCACTGATAATTTAAGGCTTAGGGCCTGTTTACATGGAGTGGGGGACCCCTGTCTAGTGGGGTAAGTTTCTTTTGTTTTCACGCTCTGGGGGACACAAAACAAAAGAAACTTACCCCACTAGACCGGGGTCCCCCACTCCATGTAAACAGAGTCTTAATTGATCACCTCGCCTATGAGTATGTTTACGTCACACTTAAGATGCCATTCGAACACCGCAGCGATGGAACATCGACATTACAAAGACTTTATCGCACATCACAAAATTAGAACCTCACTTTTTAATAACAAAACGTTTTTAAGAATGCGGAACATCCTGTGCTGGTTTATAGAGGTGTATCATTGACGTTTTTCCTTTATTGTGAAGATAAGGAAATTCTGGAAGAGGAAAGGTGCTAGAATTTTCACTATTTACGGTCTAGACATGCAGGAATAAAAAAGCATCATTGGCTTAACATAGTGTTCCAAGATAATTGATTGTTTTTTAAACTTTTCTACGTGTGTGGAATCAGGAAAGTAAAATTTAAGAGTTTACCACAATCATTTTCCGCCTGGCCTACATAGAAATATAATAAGAATGTTGGCCTTCGGGCAAAGTTTTTTTGATCATTTATTTTGAAACGAGTAGTGCAAAAAATTCTGAAGAGGTTACATCTGAAAAATATGTTGTGGCTTAAAAGCGAAATTTTCTTAGCTCATTGTCTGAAAGGGCAAAAATCTGCGGACTATTTTCATTCCTTAGTGAAGGGGGTGAATTCAACCCAGAATCGGGAAATGACCCAAACACCCTCAACTCATTCCTTCATTTCATGGCAAGGTAAACGCTATAGTGGAAAATGCATAGTTATCATCAGCTCGTGCTACATCCTGATATTCGTTTAGTTGGCAAAGCTGTCTAAAATTAGTCAATGTAGTGAGTGAACGTTTTCCATTGGATAGCACTTTCCACCTTTTGAGCAAGCCGAATATTTATTGAGATTGTTGCACTGATTTTTTTCGGAGGTAAAAAATTCTTAAAGAAATTACGCTCATTATTTTTCTTAGACAAGGTCAGGCGAAATCGCCAGAACTGTCTCTCGCCTAATTGTAAAGACGCCTGTATTACCTGTAATGTTACAGTGAATGGCGTTCACATAAAAAAAGATGTGAACGTGATTAATTTAAGCAGACAAGACGGAGACAAACAATAGCATCATGAGCATGATAACAGATTGTTTTCATTAAGTTGAAATTGATTGCATCTTATCTTCTGTGTCGTTTACGAAAGGGACGAGAGAAGACGTGAAAGAAAAAGAGTTGAAATTTGCGTTCCTTAAATAGGTTACCACGCAAAAGGCGTACGAGGTATTTAAAAATGGCCATCGCATCAACCTGACAGGTTGTTAGACGTGTTCCTCCCCATTCCGAAATTATGAAATGCTTAAAGAAGGGGTCAATATTTCACGTTTCTGATCATGGTCTCGAGGTAGTGTGTCACTATGCCATGCTGTGCCGCTCTGATTACCAATTTCCCGCCATTTGCCTCGATCTTTGCGCTCTCAAGCTGCCACGTTCCCGCCATTACTTTGAAGCAACAATTTGAGTTGATTTTCAAACCATCTTGTCCCACTGGTGGCTAGATAGAAGCGAGGTGAAAGACCGAAAAAAAAAAAACCGAAGCCATTTCCAGCGAACTGAGCGTATATGTTGTACAGTAGTTCAATTTTATCCTTGGTTTAAATTTCATTTTCCCTTGTTCTGGGGTATGGTAATGTATGATAATGAGGTTAAAACAGAGGAAAATAAATTTTAAACCAAGGATTAAATTGAGCCACAGCATATACATATACTGTAAATTTGCCTCTTCTTTCTCTCCTTCAGATAACAGGGAGAGCTCATACCTACAAGCCGTTTCTTCAGCTGGAGTGGCTCATCAAATAACAAGGGACTGTAGTAAAGGAACCAGAGAAGAGTGTGGCTGCGACAATCGCCCCCAGGGAAGGGGGACAGCCCCGGGAGAATTAAGCTGGGAGTGGGGAGGCTGCTCTGATGACTTCCGTTATGGCATTCAGTTCTCCAAAGATTTCATGGACCCGAGCAGGAGTTCGGAGAAAAGTTTATCATATTACGTGAGACGCCATAATAACGATGCCGGAAGGAGGGTACGTTTTGTAATATGCTTTTTCAGTTTGGATCTAAAGGGGCTATAAGGACATGAGGACATTGCTGTTTTAGGTCAATTATGTTCTAAAGTCGTTCCTCATTGCCTTTACACATACGTTAACAACTACTGAAGACTAGTGAAGGAGATATTAAACAGATTTCATTGGAGAGTAATAACTATGATACGTTATTTGGTGATTTTTGCAACGCATTAAAAATTGAAAAAGTTGGCCCAAATTCCCATCCATGTCCATCCTTGCCATCTATTGCAACAGACGATAGGAAACAGTGTCAATGCTTAATAATATTGTAGCCTTGAATAACAAAACTGGACCATTGTTTTTGGAATTAAATGGTGCAAAGACACATTTTAGCTTTTTGAAAAGGTAGAAAAACAGCGTGAAATAGCCCCTTTTAGCTCCGTTGCAGCTGTGTGAGTCACAGTCTCGGAAATTCTACTAAATCGGAGCATGTGTCCTCCCGTTTAGCAACCTTTACCTGCATGCTTAAAGCTCCTGCTCTCGAATGAAAACAGCGTGTGCGTTTCGGTTTCTACACGTGGTCGGAATTTCAGGTGACAAACGCACATAGGAAAGGTATTAATCACTCAGGTTCTCTCAAATATATAACCTCAAATAGTTTTTCTTAGTAGACAAGATTAAATGCACAGTTAGTACTTAAAGGATTTACCACCATTGAATCTGGATATTCAGAGAGTTTTAGTTTTCGTCTAGACCTCGAGCAACTGAAAACTTTCACTCAGGAAATAGCAAAATTCCAGTCTTGAATACTTTTTAGTGTCAGCCAAAGCTGCCAATATTTAAAGTTGATACGAATTTTATCACATACGCTAGCATGTCATAAGGATGTTTTTAAATTTTATTGCTGAGCATTTCCCCTTCGGCGGCAAAGTTAAACGCCCACGAAATCGGCCCGTTTGACCTTTGCGGTAACAGACGATGCCCACTAATGTTAACTGCTTCCCGCTCTCATTAATTCCTTAGTGTTAGAACTCACGGACAGTTATGAATCTGGGTTTAACTAGTAAAGCTGTTAAGAGGCTAATATTTTGGTTGATCAGGCCTATGGATTTCAAGTCCCTGGATCCGAAATTCGAAGATACATTATGGCGGTTCTTGTAGGTCAAGGTTTTGAGACTGCGATATCTCGACAGAGAACTTATTTCTCAGAATAAAGTATTATTTTTTTGGACTTTAAGCTCTTTTACAGGTAAAAACATTACCTACCAAGATTCTAATATTCTAATCATGTAATCTGCAAAAGGCATAGCCCATCACAGCAGACTGGATATATTTAACAATTATTCCTCGAGCCCGAATATTCTCTGAGTCAATAGCCCATGAGGCCGAAGGCCGAATTAGCTATTGACTCAGAGGCCATGAGGGCGAGAGGAATAATTGTGTTGGTAAAATCCAACTAGTTGGTCAAAAATATCGAGACAAAACAACTTTAGCTAGCAAAACGCGATTCAGCCGCCATATTGTTTTGGTTTTCGAAGCCGGCGCTTTCGCTACTAGTGGGCTATAACGTATAGCCTAGTAGTAGCTCAACCAATCAGAACGCAGCATTGATAATAGACCACTAGTTGGATTTTACTAACATGAGATATATCGGAGATATGGAAGATTTGGGGCGAAAATCAGTGTTAAGTCGATTATTTCTATCAAACACTACCCTTGCCTTTTGTATATGAACCCTTTCCTCGGAAGTGGCCAAAGTCAAAATCTGCCAATTTCATTTTGTGAAAAGCTCAAAAACAAATAGAACTATATGAAACTACTGCCAAAGAGGTCTCATTTGAATGGTAACACCGTAGGATTTCGTGCACAGACTCAAAAGTTAGAAATACTGCTGAAGAGGTTTCATTTGAATGGTAACACCGTAGGATTTCGTCCAGACTCAAACGTTAGAAATACATACTAAATAAATAGTACCATGTGAAAGCACTGCCGAAGAGGTCTCATTTGGATGGTTACCCCATAGTATTTCGTCCACAGACTCAAAAGTTAAAACTACATACTAAATAAATAGTGCCGTGTGAAAGTACTGCTGAAGAGGTCTCATTTAAATGGTCACACCTTAGGAAATCGTCTGTAGACTTAAACGTTAGAACTACAAACTAAATAAAAAGTCCCATATGAACCTACAGCTGAATAGGTCTCATTTGAATTGTCACACCGTAGGATTTCGTCCACAAACTCAAAATTCAGAACCGCCTTACAAGACTCCTCATTATGGAATGGGAGTTAAGAGTTAACCACTCTTAAATATGGGGTAAGGAGTGTTGAAAAAGTAGGGAAATCACCACAAGACTCCACTACAATACTTAGAGCGGCAAACTCTGATTTAGCGAGCAAATATTTTCTACCGGCTTATTGTGACACATCTGTGACCTCTTGAGTATATGCGAGGGAATCACCACAGGCGTTAAAATCCGGATTTTAAGGCATTTGAGGTCACTCCTCAAGTGTTAAGTGCTTTAAAACGTGTTTGTTGCTTGCGATTCCAGGGCGTTTTCTTTAAACAGGACATGTGGATTTTTCTATGTGGCCACGTCTTCCAGTTCTATTTCCTACGCAAAGCATTTCCGTGTTTTCCTCGTCTAGTGTTAAGTTATTGCCGCTTTTGCTCAGTAAAAGCCTGAGTCGACTCGTGACCACTCGCGAATGTGGCTGAGGTTCCGATCTACCACGAAGTATTTAGCGAAAAATAGAAACAATGCCTTTGTACTTGCCGAAAGTGTCCTGTCTGTGGTTTGTCGCTTTTTACTGCTGTTGATATTGAGTTGACGTCCTACATGCCTCTGGCATCATTATCCCTCACGAACTGCTTCGCTTTTTGTTTTTCATGGCTAGAAATTTTGGCCTATCATCTTGAAGCCCGATGCTGATCGAATATTGGACAGATTTCGCGAAAAAATCTTTCCCAATCTATTCATCAACTTTCGCAAACGTGCTCGCTAAATCCGCATTTGTCATCTACCTCCTTTGCCTACTTATTTCCATTTTTTGGGCATAGTCTAAAACCTGGACTGGACTTAGGACTGTGTATTTGTATTTTAAACCAAACTTGAATTGGTTTTTGAGTACGAGAAATGCTTTGATTTTCTGACAAATAAGCTTCCACAAAACCTCTTTAAACAAAATTAGTTTTTCGCATACAAATTGTTTGCTTAGCCTTCTGGACATTTAATCGCGTTCTGTCCTATAAAGCCTTCCTTTGTAAATCTTTTAATTAAAACCGTACTATGTCTGTCAATTAATCTCAAATAATCTTCTTACAGCTATAATAGAAAAAAGGTGACAAACCATCTTGGGTAATTCGGCTTGATATTAAAAGCCTGAAAAAGCCCATCATGATGAAACTGCGATGACTAAGCTTGACAAAATATCGTGTTGTGGTTCATTTTTGTTCGCGGGTCAGTTTATATTTTCCCTTTTTTTGTGCAGGGTCCCCAATTGGATTTTTCAATCCCGTTATCCTAACTTAAAATGTCGCACTGAATCCCGTAATCCCGATTGTTATATTCGGCATCCCGCATCCCGTGCGTACTTTCAAGACCAAATCTCTCACCCCTTTTGGCTTTAAAATTAATTCCGAATCCCGACCTTCTAATGAGGAAAATCTCCGGCATCTCGCAAAATCTATGGGGGACCTTTTATAGGGTAATGTGTGATCATGATATAGAGGGGCTAAGTGGCGGTTTTCGTTAATTACGAGCTGTTTATCTTAAACCACTGGTAAGTCTTTTATTTTCAGTCAAGGAAAGTAAAAACATAGCCTGCGAAAACATCGGTTTCTCCTCTCTCCTCGCCGCTGGGGACGGCTTGGGAGGAGGAACGCCAAACGTCCCCAGCGGCGGAGAGCGAGGAGAAACGGATGTTTTTGCAGGCTAGTAAAAACACCACAACACAAATTAATACAAGAAGATTTCGTACAGGGCGTACAGCGTTAACGAAACCCTCCAATAGACACAATTCTAACCGTTTATTTCTAGTAATTGTGAACTTTTGTTGTATATTTCAGGAAGGCTTTTAGCGATTGGAATCAATGAATTGAACAAAAGAAATTGCAAAACAGTAATATAAACCTGAGATAAAGTTTTTCAACAAGGTGTTGAGATCTATCCTGTAACAAGAGTTGTTAGTTCTTGCTCATAATCCTGGCTGATTTTGATCTTAAGTACTCCATATTAACGATAAAAACTTTCCTATTATCATTCATTGGTATAAAAATTTCGTAATACGATAATTTTCAATGAATGTTATTATTTCAGGAAACCGGCGTGAAGGACTTCTGAAAGTGTACTCTGCAATACCCTTTTTAAATTCCTCGAAAGATTTTTGAAGTTAGCTGATGGCAACATTTGTAGAAATATCTTAGGTTAACATATTGATTTGTAATCACGTGTTGATTCGGGCGCATGAAAGTGTGTTCCTAACTGATTCTCGTTTCCTAGGGAAAAGAGAAAATACTCCACTTTCCATTGCGTAATATAAGATGTTTAGCGTAACCCCTTCCAAAGCATTGTTTTCGCTTTGTCTTGGGATGACCGTAATACCCAGGCGAAACTGAAAATATTACTTTTGCAAACTTTTGGTGGGTAGTGTATTATCCTGATGGGAAGCAGTGGATACCAGACAACGATCTCGCCATTGACAAATTTTATATTCTGATAATATGATTTTGAAAGCTGTGATTGATTAACTGGCGCTCCCATTTACACGAATTTTCACCTTGTGGCTTTCAGACGCCTGATCGGCCCTTTGCGTGGGCTTTAAACTGCGAATTGTGTGGCTTCCGACGACAAAATTCGAAACAAATTGGAACAAAAAGCGACCTTAACCACAAAATCCGTTCGCGGCTGTCTCGCGCGGGAACACGCCATCCGCGCGGAAACGCGTCATTGCGTGGTTCCCTGCTCTTCGCGTTATTGAAACGCCCTGCTGAGACGTGATCTTGTTTATTATTACATATTATTAACTCACCCTTCCTTTTAGAAATGATTGGTTCAGCGTGCGTTGCGGACGGATTCTTTGTGTCTTTTTAACTGGTTTTATGGGTTTTCTCTCTTCAGTAGCCTGATGTAAAAATTCCTCAACTTTCCGGCCCCAGAATAACAAACGGAAACGATAATTTTTCTCTCGCAGCTTCAAAGGAAAAAGCGCTTTTATATTAATGATAAGTGTTTAATTCCGGATGTTATATCATTTATTGTTACAGCAGGGAGTTTTCCTCACGAAAGATAACGTTTGATTATCGATATTGAGACGTGTTTAAAATTTTTGTCTAGCAAAAAAGTCAGAACCTTTCAGAATGGCTTACCACTTATTAAAAGAAATATTAAACCAATAGTTGTAATTTATATTAACCGCAATTAGAATGTATGGTTGACTTGGAAAATGAAACAGGAAAGTTCTAGAGCTTCAGTTTTCTCTCTTTTTGCTTGCCTTTTAATTAACTTTTTGTTTCAAATTCTTACTTTTTTTACCCCTAAATTATCACTTCTAAACATAAAATGGTGGGTATCATTGTCAACTGAAAAGCCAATAGATCATAAGCTACAGTCTTTGGCTCTTTTTAGGAAAAGTACATATATTTGATTGTGTCACGAAAATCATATCTTGTGATAAATTGCAACGAAATGAAATAACGAGTTTTCAATCTACTTTACTTTGCCACTCTTTGGAATCTTTTTCAGTAAAACGAACTTGTGTGAAATTTTCAGATTGTAAAAGTTATTGAGTAATTTTAATGAGTAAGCTAATCTGCCTTATGGTTGAGATGCGCACTATTGTAGGTGAGAATAAGATTAGCATTTTTAATCTGCGGCTGTAAATATGTCAGAAAGGAAATCACAGGGTGCCAAACACACCAAGAAACTTTCTTTTTTAAGACGGACATTTTTCCTAGAAAGGACGCCTTGAGTTGTTCCATGTTAGCCCGCGAGTAATTTCTCCATTTCCAAGCGACTCGCGGGAAAACACGCCAGTGAGCGGCAAAGCTCACGATATGCCCATATTAAGAATTTGTTTGCAGGCTAGGTCCTTGTCTTCAGTCTTTTTCTTTCATTCGCCAGAAGAAGGACACTTTCTGCCGGTTTTAACAGATTCTGTCTTGATTAGTTTTTAGAGATATCTTGTAAAAAAAAAAAACAGCTGGCCGAACACTCGGTTAAATAAATCAAAGAAGAAAATAAAGTTGTTAGTAATGCAAGTGCTTATTTGTGGAGCATCTATCATTTTGCAAGGAAGCTCTAACGCTGTAACTTTGATTAAAGGGAGACAATTCAAAACTTGTGAGGTATTGTATCTATGATGCCTGTCCTTCCTTAAGGTTTATTCGGCGTTTTGCAGGATGAGATTTTAAATCTATGTTTGTCATTCATCATATCGCTATGTCATGTTAGGGTACGCCCATTTATATTGGTTCCTCTTGCGTATCGATCTCTTTTTCTTTTTTTATTAAATTGTTTGTTTTTATATGAATCTCATCAGGGCTTCACAGTTGTTGTGGGTTTTTGTCGAACTTCATTAACATTTGCGCCCACGTCTGTTAGTTTAGTGTTCAATTTTTTTTTGCTTGAGTCAGTTTTAAAAGTATCGGTGTATCCGAGGAAGGCATTTCCTCTTATTTTCTCATAAAATACGAGATGTGCGTTTTCACTCTGCCATTTACTAATTCTGGAAGTAAGCTACAGTTTTTAGTTCCCTATGGCTGTTGTGGTTTCTTTGATATAAAGAAATTCAATGTTTGGAAATTTAATTAAGAAGGAATGAGCTGTAAAACAATTACACAAAATAGCTTTTTAGCCGCCTGCAGAGAACGAATGAATTGCTGTGTTATGGTGGGTAGGTCTTGCATGTCCAGCCTAAATGTGTCTAGTTTTTCTATGTTCAGTTGAGGTTTTTTTATAATATAATTGGCTTTTTCAACCCTGTTACGCTCAATAAAACTTTCTTTGACGTGAGGAAATTAAGTCCAATAGGATCGTGTCCGTGTGAAGAACCGTCTATTAGAGCAGTAGCTCAATACCTTTCATTTGATTTATAGTTCTGTTCATGATTAAATTTAGACTCGCAACAATGAAACCACTTTGCTCAGTGATTAAGCTTTAACTGCAAAAGAAGAAGAAAACTAGAAAGCATTTGTGTGTTCTATTCATTGCACGATAATTAGTTTGTTTATCTTTCTTTGCGAAGAGACCTTTCCCTTTCTGTCCACCAGAAAAACGTTTGAACCGTACAATGCTTGGTTCAGTTCAGTTATTGCATTTCGTTTTCTTTTTACGCTCTGGTTTATCACGCAGAGATGCGCCTCAGGCTGTTGACGACAGTCAGCTCCACTAAACAAATATTGAAACAAAATACTTTGTACTATATTGTCGCAATCACAGGGTATCTTGAGACGTTAAACTTTGTTAAACAAAATGGTTTCATTGGCAAGATATAGCTGGGGAAAAAACCAATATAGGGTTGGGAGCCTGAGATCTGTCAAAGGCCAAAAAGACGCCGCTAAACTGCAGGAAATAGAGAGATTAAGATTTACGTTTACACCAAACGGCAGACGTGAATTTTTACCACGTGACCAAGTTTCCCCCTTATTTTCCTTTTACTTTTTATTGCTTCCATGCAAAAATAATTATGCCAGTTTTAACCACAGGAATCGTTCGGTACTGTTTTTATCTGCTTATTTTCTATTCTGAAAAATTCTCAACTTGAGTCTGACGTTTGCCGTTTGCGGTAAAAGTGAATCTTAATCTCTCTACTAACAAATTTTATAGGTCGTCAACACAAATGGAAAAAATTAAAAGAAATTTACTTTCAAAAGTGCTATTAATCTTTTTCTGTCAGCGAAGATTTAGCAAGTAACAGCCGCATGTTGGCAGTAGATGATTTGGGGTTAGGCCGGGAGTTGGAAGGAGGTGCAAACGTCTCATGACCTCTAGTCGATTCGCGCCAAAGTTGGGATCAATGGGATACCTGTGGCAACAGGGCAAACGTACTACCAAGTTTTTGTCTTAAAAAAAGACTCCGTAAAAACCAGTAAATTTGAATAATTAAAAACGCGTTAGAAATCGACGCTGAAGGGTTGTGAGTTAGTTATTATATTTATTTGTTCTTGTAGATAGGCTTAAATTTTATTTCTTTTCATTTTTCAGGTTATTATAAGCAAAATGGATAAGACTTGTAAGTGCCATGGCGTATCTGGCTCCTGCACTGTCAAAGTTTGCTGGAGGACTATGCCCAAGATGAAAGCAATTGCCACCGAACTTCGACGGAAATACGAACACGCCATAAAAGTCAAGCTTAACAGGAACAAAACCAAGCTCACGAGGCTCTCTCGCGGGCGAAGAGGGCGAAAGTCAAATAAACGAAACTCGAACCGACGACCTTCATCTTCAAGTCTTGTATACGCCGAGGACTCTCCGGACTTTTGCAAACCGGACTCTAGATATGGAATTCTTGGAACGCATGGGCGGAGCTGTAACAAAACATCGAGTGGTACTGCAGGTTGTAGTCAAATGTGTTGTGGTCGGGGATACAACACTGTCAATAGATTGGATGACGTCAAATGTAACTGTCAGTTTATTTGGTGCTGTCATGTAAAATGTGATTGGTGCAAAAAGGAATGGGTCCAGCATACTTGCAAAGGAGACTGAAAAACGCCATCGTAGAATTAATCCAGAATAAATTATCACACCACGTTGTACTTCAAGGTGACAATCACGCAGATTTGAAAGTATTTAATTTCTAGGGTTGATTTTGTACTTCGTTTGGCTGTGTTGGACACGCCACTAGATGGGACAGCTGATGATGTTTACAAGCAGTAACTTATGGTGTACAGTCGCTTGTGTTCAGACACGAGAATCCTGTTTTACTGTTCATTCCTTTGAGGCATCAGATCTAGTGTAACCCAGCTACCGTGATGCTAACATCCTGGTTATTGGGTACTAGAAAATTGAGTGCTTTTCTCTAGTTGTAGAAGCAGTAGCGTGATTGGCCTTCCTCCCCTCCCCTTCAAGTGTTAACGCCCCTCTTACACGCCTTCCCCCGAACTTTCTGTGAAGTAAGTTAAATTCCGAGGGGGGAAGGATGGGGTGACGAGAAAACGATGTACGTTAGATTATAGAGACAGTGACTCCACAGCCGTGAAGTGGTTAGCTTAGCTGAACAATGTATATATTTATTGCAACTGTTAAAAACAAGGAAAACAATTAGTGAATGGTGCACCTTCTCAGGAATGACACTAAAACCACATTTATGGAATTTTCGTACCTTGCTTGTGGACCTTTTATTGTCATTATCAGAATATACTGACTTCTCCTTTCCTATCCCGCCTTAAGCTTAGGCTTAAGAAGAAATTATTCGAATATCAAGAGTCTTGCAAGTTCATTTTCTTAATTTTATAACCTTTTGAATTATCCAAAAAGTGATATTACAAGCAGAAATTTGACGCTTATGAGGACTTAGATGTAAGCTACAGACAGGCGCCAGTTCGTAAAGAACAGAAGCGCTCAATTGAATTCGTCTAAGAGACTGGGAAATTTCTTTACTTAATGCCTGGCTAAACTGCAAAATGTTGTTGCAGAAATAGTGTTTCTTCTAATCTGACTGAAAAAAAAAAAACTTGGGTCCAGGAAGCAAAATTTGTATCTTCAACATTTGTTTCTCGCTCTACTAAATTTAGAAACTTTGGAGCAGCGTCTCCTAGTTTTGCCAGGCCTTAAGACTCGTTGATTATTTGTTTCTGTTCCATGACAAGAAATATCTGACTTGGCCTCTCACTTTGAGCGTCACTAGAGTTTAAGCTTCATGTATACGGCAAACTGACGTCAGATTCAAGTTGAGAATTTCTCAAAATAGAAAATGAGCAGATAAAAACAGCTCAAAGCAATTCTTATAAAAAATTGCGTGAAACTACTAATTTAGGTGTAGAAATAATGAACAGGAAACGACAAGTAAAGAGGAAACTTAGTCACGAGGTACAAATTCGCGTTTGCCGTATGACGTAAACGTGATGCTTAACCTCTACTGAAAGGGCCTTGACTCCGGTGTCTGGGTGTGTATAAAATTTCGCACCTTGTGGTAGTTCGCCATTGGAGACAAGATAAGGAAAGTGGACCGAGTTAACTTTCGCAAAGATGTCTGGGATTGTTATTAGGGACAAGAAAAAAAATAAGCCAATAGCTGACAGGTGCGTCCCATTGCCGATCCCAGAAACCACTGCGAGACGCATTTCGGTTTCAATTCCCTTCTCGTTGCTGATGTGGCGAGTTGCAACTAGAACAAAGCAAATAACTGTTTGTTATATATTTTTATGCATACAGAATCTTCCTTATTTATAAAGAATTGACACCTTAGTTAGAGGAGCAGTGTTTGAACACTTTGTATTGTAAACACGACTTGTTCGAGTTCATAAAAAGTCAAGAAATTGGGAAAACCGATTGTGTCCGGTTGCCTCGTTGTTTGTTGACTGTTAATGTGAAATAGCGATGCTAAAAGACTGGGAAGTCAAAGAAAGGGAAATAAATACAGTTCCCCTGACAGTCACAAAATGTTTCACGAAAGGCTCAACGAGAACGGTCAGGCGGCCACAGTGAAAATGTTAGTAAGGTGAAAATATTTATTATTTATCGCTTCAAAACCCTGCTGTAGCAGCTTCTATATATATATATATATATTTAACCTATATGTGTTTCATTTTGTTAACTTTCGTTTATTTCCAAACATCTTAGACCTTCCTGTTTGCAATACCCTTTTTATTTCAGTAAGTACATTTACCGGCATTGAGTTTTAACAATAAAGGAAAGATTATATTTAAACACACTTGTCACAAAACCGCGGGTTGATCTGAACATGAGAGGTGATGACAAACGTGAAAAACCGCCCATCAGAAAGAAGTATAACTGACTTTTGTATGTGGAAAATTACAACAAACGTTAGTTCCCTTGATAAAAAAAAATGATGCTAAATACCAAGAACTGGATTACAGAGTATTGCATTCATCACTATGTACTTCGAAGCACAGTTCTTGAGGTTGGTGTTTATGCCGTGCCGTAACACTTCAATTTGCCCAGTGTGTGGTAACCTTCCTGTCCGTGGCCACTAGCATCCCCAAACCTGAGTTGTTTGACAGGAAGCTTTGTCTTGTCAGTCAGCAGACCGCTGTCTTCACGCCATACATAGTCATTTTTATCACAGTTGCAACCAAACCCGGAGTTTGCGCATGAGTTGGTCATTCCGCATGCGCACTTACGACTGATAGATGCTCCACCCCAGTAGGTCATCTTAGTAGAATCGCGTGACACCCACCATCCGTAGGGATCGCCCCAATGAGGGGAAAGCAAAACGGAAGCAAAGCACTCATACTTAATAAACTGTTCACAGTGTAAAGAGACACTAGCGAGACTCGCCAGCTGAGACAGACTCGCTCCCGTGTATTGAATGTCACGTGAGTAAGTACCTCGATCGGCATATCCATTCACATGTGTTCTGCTTTCACTGTCATGACTTATCACTGTCACGCCAACTCCACTCTTATCAGTCATGTCACAGAAGACTGTGAATGGTGCCAGGCCTCCCTCGCCATCTGGATCAATGACGTAATTTCCGTTTACCATGCCGACGTATTTTCTTATCACTGAACAAGAAGTACCTACAATACGTGGAGAGTTGATTTTAACTCTAGCTTCTATTGTAGATAGAGCATTAGTTACCCTACAGGTGTAAGTTCCTACGTGTGTTTTTTTAATGCTTAAGAGAACCATTGTCCCATTGGGTAGAAAATACGTGTCAGCAGGAAGAGAAGACTTGCCATCCTTTGTCCAGGTAATTTTCGTTCTTAGGTCGCTCTCTGATGAACATGGTAGAAGTATGGTTGAACCAAACCTGTCAGGAGTCACCTCTTTTGGAGGTATGACCTTGAACCGAAGAGGAGGAAAGGTCACAACTAACGACATCGCCGACGCTGACCCCAACATATTGTTTGCTTTACAGATGTATATTCCACCGTCGTTTCTTGTAACGTCATAAATTGTCAGTGCTCCATTCTTTACTTTAGCTCTTTCTCGTGGCAAACTACCAACTGACTTGAGCCACGTGATGCTTGGATACGGCTGACCAGAAGCATTGCAGGCGATAGTGATATTTTGTTTCTCTTCAGCCATTAGTCGATTGGATGATAAGAACACTTTTGGGCCAGCTTTAGAAAAGCGCAAAAAAAAAGTGTTATCAGATTGAAATAATTTCAGGTCTATTTTAAAAATCATTTAATATGATATGGAGCTCATTCAGGAAATGCTCCAAACTCGTTGTGTTCACTTGTTTGCTTTACGGTTTACAAAAGTTAGAGACAACAATGATATTAATAAAAATAATTATAACGAAGCTTGGACGACACAGGTTTAACAGGTGCTTTCGTTGGATTAAAATTCGTCGTTACAAGTTACAGGGAGTGTAAACAATATTTATTCACTGACTTACTCTGAACAGTTAGTTTTGCCGTAGCGTTGATGCTGCCCAGCAAGTTGTCAGCTCTACATCTGTAAACTCCATCATCTTCAGGCCTGACGTCCTTTACATGTCAGAGCGCTACTGGACACTACATAACGTCCAGGGGGAAGAGATGAATTTAGCTTGTACCACGTTACCTGTGGAGTTGGATTACCGTCCGCTACACGTTTTAAGATGGCTGTCTGACTTTCATTAACAGTCGTTTCAACAGGTCGCTGCAGCAGAGAAGGAGCCGAAATGGACTTCCCGGTTCTCCTTTGACGCCTTTCTGACCGGGCAGGCCTCTAGGTCCCGCGGGACCAGGGTCACCCGGCACTCCGAGATCCCCTTTCAAACCCATCGGTCCTTGAAATCCTATTGGTCCGTGTTTACCAGGAGGTCCTTCTGGCCCGGGTCTCCAGGGTGGCCTGGTCTCCCTCGGTTTCCTGGTTTTCCCCGTCGTCCAGTGTTACCTTTTGGTCCTGATCGGCAAACTGTTTCATCTTTAGCACAGATTTGGTTTTGCAGCAAACGAAGCTCTTCTTTAATGATCCGTTTTACTTCAGAAACCGTTTGGATACGATTCTGTTGCGAATTTTGTGGTGAAGCCCGCTTGTTTCTTGAAAAGGCCTCTTTCTGATCTGCTGATTACAAACATATAGCGAAAGTTTTAATTCAGTTCTGTATTATGACATGGGTGGATTGCATGATGGTTCATGGTGCAATAAAAAAAATCAAAGGAAGTAGGGGTGAAAATAGCCAGAATACGAATTGTCTATAAACCCGAGTGAAGGAAAAAGTTTACCTTGCGTAGGATAACAACGAAAAGCTACCGTTTTCTTTTACCAAGATCTATTTCAGGTTTTGGAAGCTGGTTTGGTAGCTCTCACCACCAAGGAACAAGATTATTGCCGTGCAAAATGACAAAAATAGTAACAGACGCCATTTAATACCTCTTGTCTTTTGCAAATGACCTCCTAAATGGCTTTCCTTCGTAGCTTGCCAGTTTTCGTAATAGTGCAGTTGTAATTTTCGGATTATTTCTGTCTCCATCTGATCACAGCTTGTTACTGAGTGTGATTTCAGGCGATGGTGTTCCTGTATTCTGAGTTCCAAGTGAATCAGTGCAATGCAACACACTACAGACAACAACAAAGCTGACCAGGAACACAACACGTAGAGTGCTTTTCTTCTCTCGGTTTCCTTAGATCTTTTTTCAACCTTTTTCATGATCAAAGTCTTTTTCATACACGTGGGACGTTATGAACCCTTCAAATCAACAGCTTCCAGTTCTGATACAAGGGTCTCTTCCCGTTAAACAACGAGAAAGTTCCCGAGACGACAATTTTAAGCTCTTTATACACAGCCGTGCGGGAGAAATAGTTCATCCTAAAGCATGATGTAACCTTATTCTGCGTGTGGTATACTGTAACTAATGACCACTGATCTATGACTCAAACGAAAGCCCTCAGAAGTTTGAGTCGGCATAACAATGGCAATCAGCTTTCCTTACAATTTGGATCTCATTTGTTTTTGTTTTCTTCCTATTCAAGTTCATGTTACATCTGTGTTATTTCGAGCACAACAAAACATGAAGAAGCAAACAAACCAGTGGATCATGCTAGCAAAACAACATAAGTGACCTGTAGATCTTGTCCGGTTTTCCAAATATACTGAATGGAGGGTAACCTTTTCAACTCATTATTTGCCATTCAATAATATTTTTCTGTGAGAATGATTTTTAAAGCTTAGTTTGATTCTAATTCCTGTGATGTTCCTCTTTTCAGCTTTCTTCAACGAAGAACACACTTAGTTAGAGCATTTGTGCCCATTTGTTGCTCCAAGAGCCCGTAGAAGCAATTTAATGGTATTCAAACGCAACTTAACGTTTTACAGCGGAATGGAACTTAATACAACCATTTTTTTTCTTAGAATTCGCTGTCCTGGTCGCTTGAGCTCACGACTATCTTATGTCTTAACAGTTTGTGTCTGCGCGTAGAAGTACTTAACCTTTATTATTATATAAACACCAATGAAATACCAGGTGAGCTTTCGCGCGAAAACATGATATCTTCACACGTGAAAATAACTCGTTATTCACATATGAAAATATTACCGTTGCTATGGCTACATAATAAATCGCGCCTTTCGCAGGAAAAAACTGTTTCATTGAAATGGTTTGGTATTTCATTGGTGTTTATATAATAAATAGAACATTACATGGCCGCTTGGAGATACAAAATTTCTCTTCTCCTGTTGAACATATTTCACTCGTTCGCTGCGCTCACTCGAAAAATATTTTTCAACACTCGAAGAGAAATTTCGTATCTCCGCGCGCCCATGTAATATCCTCTATCTATGTTTTACTAAACTCGTGTAATCCTGCAACAATGTTACTAACATTCATACACATGAACTCAAACGGGATTATTACTTGACTCAATTGTAGCATTTCGTTTTTTGTTTGAAAATGGTCGGTTTTTCTGGAATCACTTGGCCCCTCAGTTATATTTAAACATTAAACATCTTAGAGCTTCCTGTTTGGAATACCTCCTGAATCTCAGTAAGTATAACCATTTACTAGCATTGATTTTTACAAAACAAATAAAGGATGATAAAAAGTCTCAATGGACGGTTAATAAAAGGAACAAAAAATGCCCATCGGAACACATACATATATGAACTTTATTTAAGCGTCAAAGAGTACTTACAATATAGCTACACAGTAATTGGGACACAGGTGCATACTATTAAAAGTAGTATAATACATGTGATAACTCAACTCAAGAGTGAGCGAAAAACATTTGGAAAATCCATATTAAAAATCTAAGGTATTTTCGTCCAAGAAAAGCTGAAAGACATGAACCATGTAAAAGCGTTAAGAGACGCATACAGATACCAATTAGTTTTTTATTTGTTTGTTCGTGTTATTACTGTCAAACCTGAAAGTACATGAATTTTTTAAAAGGAACAAAATTTGCTTTCCTTTTCTTGTTACTCGAGTATCATTTTTTCCGTGAAAACAAAACGGTATTGAAGTGCTCATAACCCAAACAATTTACATAGTGTAATTGAAATGAGAACCTCTGCGAAAAAATTTTCGATTTGAACACAACGTGTCTGATGTTTTGGAATTTTCTTACATTCGTAGGCATACCCGTTCTGCTGATCACAAAATTGACAGGCTTAAATGAGACGTCATGAGACAAATTCAGGAACTGAAAAACGGGTTTTATGCATTCTTATTCCTTTCTTAGAGTTGCCGGTGTTGTTGAAGCCAACTGCAACACATCTAACTGAAATGGTTTACCTTTTAACAGCTGTTTTAGTTTGTGAATAGAAAGAAATATTTCTAGAAGCCCACACATGTTTTCTCTCACACTTGTTTTCTTGTTCCTCAATGTACGTCTTATTTCCTTAATCTACGTCACAGCTTCATTGTTTCCGAGAGGCTTCCGAGACAAGAAGAAGACAAATGGTGTGCCAAAAGAACGGAAAATTTGAACGTTTGAAAAAAATTCTAAAACAATCACGTTGTGTTCACATAACATCACCTTTATTTAACCTCGGATCTACAGTGTAGCTCTTGAAGCTAATATCTCCGAGATAAAAGAAAATAACTAATAATCCTAAAAGAAAAGAAATAGGAGATAGAAGAAAACAAGAAAAATAAGAGGAAATTCAGAACTATAAGAAAAGAATTTAACTACCTGTTGCTTGTATTATTATATTTGTTCAGACGAAATTTGCCCCACTTTGAATTTGAACTTCCTAAAGAATGCCGTAGACCTCAGGTCCTCAGGGAGTCCATTCCGCATTGTGGTAGATACGTAACTAAATGAACGTAAACCGTGAGTTGTCTTAACGCAGGGAACTGTGAGTTTGTTTGTTCCCCACAAATGATTTTTTTTAGCAGAGGTTCTCGTAGCAATGCGCACCTTCACTTAAAAGGAAATAAAATTAGGTTACGGGCACTTTAAAGGAAGCAGAGGAAAGGCTAGTTGACGACAAATGTAATAAGAACGACTGAGGAACTAAGCTATAATATTAAGATTGCACGTAAAATAACAGCTAGGGCTGTCGGGGTTCATGTTGAAAGGAAAAAAGGAATACCATCAAGCGAAAATAGATGCATAATTTCACAAAAATTTTCTGTCAACCTGAGGAAGAAGAAATCTAAACTTATGTTCGATAGTGGCCAAACGTTGCTTTAAACAAAAAGGCCGGGCGAATTGCATGTTTGGGAAACCCAATTTCTGAAGAAAATCGACTGTTGCCTTGCAAAATGACCTAAAATGACAAACATGGATAAGAACTGACGCCATTTAAACCTGACCTCGTAACTCCCGCCAATGACCTTCTGAAAGGCTTTCCTTTCTTTCCTTGTTAACTTTCCTGTGTCCATAGCTCTGCGGTTGTAATTTTCGAATCATTTTCGTCTCTATCTGATACAGCTTGTAATTTAGCGTGATATCACTCGGTGATGTTCCTGTATTCCGCGTTCAACGTGAATCAGTGCTATTCAACTCACTACAGACAACAACAAAGTTGACTTGGAACACAACTTATCGAGTGTTTTCCTTCTCTCCGTCTGCTTCTCTTTTCTTTCTCCTTGCTTCATATTTAAAATCGTTTTCACAGACTTTGGACGCTACTTACTTTAGTGACTGAGCTTAGCTTACAGCTATCGGACAAGGCGACTCAATCCTAAATCCTTAAAATCGGTTCTGATTTATTGCCGGAACATGATGCGAGGGATCTCGGATCACTGATCCTGATCGTACCAAGGGAACGCATTTCTAGCTCAGCTCCATCTGATTTTAATTTGTATCTTGCATTCTACCTAATATTTATAGTGAGGGGATCGAAGAAAAGAATAACGTATGGGTACACAATGGGTGCGGTTACACCAGCCATTTCACCCATGGGCATATGGCAGTGAATGATTTTACGTTTAGTAAATTCTAAAGCACCTTGAAAAACTCGCAAGTTTTCTTTACATCAGTGCTCAATAATTCTTTCCTCATGAAGTCGTGGGACCCCAGTTTGTAAACGCGTACTTTTGCCATTTAAGAGAGAATTCACCTTTCCTTTCAGCCCGAACGAAGTCGACGTCTTCGGTTTTAGTTCCACAATTTAGGGCTGATATATTCTTGCTCAGGATTAACTGATGCAGAGGTTGTTTTGAAGGGTGGACATGGTCGAAAAAGTTTACTATGTCAGCCTTCAATGTTTACAACGACGTTTACCGCGAAACTGGGTTTCTTTCCATGGGCGGTTTGTGGCTGTTTAACCGCAAACATGAAAGTGACCAAAAGCCAGAGCAAACCTAAACCAAGCTCCCCAAGGGGAGCTTTGGGAAAAAGGGCTAGAGTAACCACACCCTTTATGGGGAGCTCGCCAGTAATGAAAAACCTTCATTGGTCCTTATGAATTTGGGTTGAAAGTTTAAGAAAAGAAACTTTGCTGTCTAATTTTGCAAATACTGCCGACTTTTCCACTCCAAAATACGACAGATGTAAGACGGATACCTCCCTAAAAGGGACAGTTGAGTTGGTTCCTGCTCTTCGTCGATTTCAGTCTTGCTGTTTAACTCTCTTTGACTAGTAGACGGTCACCCTCTACGAAAGAAAGTTACTTCCGGTTCAAAGTTGACTTTGCTGACGTAAGATGTAAAGTCGCCCGCCGAATGTTAATTTTATGGGCGTGGACTGCACTGCACAAAAAGTTACTGACATGTAACAGCACCTTTATACCTTAGCTAAAGGATTTCAAGTAACACACAAAAGTTTTCTGAAGTATTTTCCATCAAAAGTCCTAATTTAAAGGATCAAGATCACCGCTTTTTTCCATTTTAAGTTGCAAAAATGGTGACACAAATGTCCAGCAAGTGAGGAATTATTCATGGTAATTTTCTTGTCTAAAAACGTACCATAGTAAACAGTACGGTGTATAACCAGTATAACCAATATCGATGAAACCTCTGTCACGAATACGAAAACCTCAAAACATTAATTTAGTGGGTAAAAATACCCTCACAAGGGAAGGATAAATAATAACGGACAAAAGGTTGTAAGGCGTTGGATTAAGTCAAACTGAAAAATTTGGCCAATTTTTTCAAGGTGCATTACCGTGACACAGGCTTTGTAATGTCTTATAGCACTAGACAGTCATAGCACTAAACACTGAGCTCGGCGGACCCCTTGAAGGCGGTTCAACCGGCGATACTGTTGCTAGAGTAACCTATTAAAACTGTCGCATTTGATGCAAGTCAGCTCTAAACACTGTATTGAAAGAGCATCTCTTCAGCCCATCATCTAAACTTGTTGTGTAAAAAGCTTCCCATGTTTAATCAAGGGAACGTTTCAGCCACCATAAAAACGCCGTGGAAAACCACATGGATTTTACCGAATATAAGGCTCTTTTGGGAAAGGGTGAAACTGGAGATCAGGATCTTCTCCATTCGCTTCGCTTTTAACAAAAGCCAAGAGAGATTATTATCTCTTGGAAAAGCTAAGGAAAAACTTAACTAGACCAAATTGCCGTGCAGAGCACTTAAGGTTTCAGGGCCAGTTATTTCAACAGAGTTTAGTCAGTGTTTAACAAAACTGCGTTCTAAGTCATTTCCACTTTGCCGAACGCTTTTATGTAAACACCATTTTTCGTGAACAGTTTCATTGAAGCATGTAGCTTATACTTGAAAAGCATTTGTCTTCTTGAAACAACCCACTAAGGGAGAGATCTAGAGGTTCAAAGATTTGTTAAACCGCGTCTAAGTATAGACTTTGTTTAAATAACCTACCCTCATTCTTCGAAGTAGAGCTCGATTTTATGAATCCGTCGAAAACGTACAAATATTTTTTCAACCTTACCAAAAGAAGCACAAACAAAAAGCATACAACAAAACTGAAACGTGCTGAAGGTTCTGTCGCAGAGAACTCTACATGCACACTTATTGTGAGTCACGTACACGTACACGTACCCGTTCGCCTTTCGAACTTTCCGCAATTCCGAAACGTTGTAAGATTAGACAGGGTAAAGCAAAGCCTCGGTAAAGGTCCTATTACTCAGTGAGGAAGAATTTTTATCTACCATGAAAACATTTCAACGTAGCAGGGCCCTGGGTACTGATGGTTTATCGGAAGAGTTCTATCGTTGTTTCTGGAATGATACCTCCAGCGCTTTGACTGAGTGTCTCAATCATAAGACGCTATTGGGAGAACATTTCTTTTTCCAGAGACGAGGATTTGTTTCTTTGATTTCAATAAATAAATCAGTAATAAGGACCCACTGCTTCTAAAACAAACTGACGCCCTATCTCACTTTTAAACACAGATTACAAACTTAAAACGACACAAATTGTTCGCTATCAAAACTATATCTCCGAGGGTAATATAACTCTTCATTCAGAGAAATGATGTATCCATAGGCAAATTATTCTGGATAGAAACCTGGAAATTGTAAACGGCAACATTTAACGGTCATTAACTAACCATCCTTTCAGCAACAGACTTTGAAATCAAGCCGACACAAAGTGGCTTAAAAAGTCTCAAATAGAGGAAATGAAAAGAAAAAAACAAAGAAAAGTGTTGGGAAACTTACAAAGGGGACAGCATAGAAATGAAAAAGGTTGGAACTAAGCCTTTTTTGTAAGTTATGAATCTAAAGATCTAAAACAAACCAGGGGAAAAAACTGTGCTTTTTCCGACCATCTCAAAAATGAGGGGGGCGAGAACTTTGCCCCCTAGCCACATCTACCCTTCGTGGTTCTTGCCGAAGCGCAATCCTGACGCTAAAGTGTTCATGCAGTGCCGTAACACTTTAATTTTCCCAGTGTGTGGTAGCCATGGTTGCCGCTACCAGTATCTCCAAACCTGAGCTGTTTGACAGGAAGCTTTGTCTTGTCAGTCAGCAGACCGCTGTCTTCACGCCATACACGGTCATTCTTATCACAGTTACAACCAAACCTGGAGTTTACGCATGAGTTGGTCATCCCACATGCGCACTTACCATTGATAGATGCTCCTCCCCAGTACGTCATTTTAGCAGAATCACGTGACACCCACCATCCATATGGATGTCTATTGTAAAGCAAAACTGAGTCCAAACACTCATATTTGATGAACTGTTCACAGTGTGAAGAAACTCTGGTGAGACTGGCCAGCTGAGACAGACTCGCTCCTGTGTAATGAATGTCATGTGAGTAACTACCTCGACTGCTATATCCATTCACATGTGTTCTTCTTTCGCTGTCGTGATCTATTACTGTCACGCCAACTCCACTCTTATCAGTCATGTCACAGAAGACTGTGAATGGTGCCAGGCCTCCCTCGCTATCTGGATCAATGACGTAATTTCCGCTTACACTGCTGAAGTACTTTCTTATCACAGAACAGGAGGTAGCAATAATTGGAGAGTTGATTTTAACTTTAGCTTCAATTGTCGTCAGAGCATTAGTTGCTCTACAGATGTATGTTCCTTGGTGTGATTGCTTGATGTCTCGGAAAAGCAGTGTTCCATTTGTAAGAACATAGGTGTCAGCGGGAAGTAAAAGTTTGCCCTCTTTTTTCCAAGATACTGTTGGTTTCAGATCGCTCTCGGCCAAACAGGGCAGACGGACATTGAAGCCAGACAAGGGAGTCACTTCATGAGGAGGGCGGACTTTGAACCTCAAAGGAGAAAACACTACCACTAGAACTGTACTGGTATCCCGTCCCAGAATATTTTCTGCTTTGCACATGTATATACCGACGTCGTTTTTTGTAAGGTTATAGATTGTAAGGGCTCCATTCTTAACTGCAGCTTTTTCTTTAGGCAAAGAACCAAAGGCTTTTGACCACGTGATGCTTGGTTGCGGCTGACCAGTAGCATTGCAGGCGATAGTGACATTTTGTTTCTCTTCAGCCATCAGTCGATTGGATGATAAGAAAAGTTGAGGATCAGCTAATGAAAAATTGAAAAACAAAACTTGTTGTTGAAGACCAACTAAAGAGAAAAATTTGTTTTCTTATAATGTAAAAACAGCCGCTATAAACATCAGTCTTTGAAGCAAATTGCCTCGTTTCATAAATTCTAGGATTTACAAGATTAAAAATGGGAGTTCAGCACTGACATTTCAACTGCCTCTTTAAAGAAATGCAAACTGATTTTTCTCTTACCAGTTATTGGCTTCCGCACCGGACCCTTGAATATTATTTACGTTTAATTTAATTTCGCATTATGTTGCAGACCGAGATAGCAAGTTCCTTACATCCGTACTCCTTTAACTGGTCGTTTAGCTTGTGGTGTTAGTCCCTGTGCTCAAGTTTTCAGTCCAGTCTCCTGCGGCTTACAAAAAGTAATCTTGTACTTATGCTGAACGTAAATTTCGATAAATTGCCCAACATTTATTCACGTTAACAATAACTAATTAGAAAAGTTATAGTCTGAAACTTAAACTCACACTAGCCACAGCGCGTCCCCGTCAAATGTTTTAATTAGTCAACAGACTGCGTCCTTGTTTCATCTGCTCCTGTTGCTCAATAATTTATTTTTACAAAATACCTTAAAGAAAGTGGTCAATCTTACATTGAACAGTTAGCTTTGCTGTGGCGTTGATGTTGCCCAGCAAGTTTTCAACTCTACATCTGTAAACTCCATCGTCTTCTGGTCTAACGTCCTTCACAATAAGAGCGCTACTGGTAGTCACGTGACGTCCAATGGGAAGCGATGAATTTACTTTGGACCACGTGACCTGTGGAGTTGGATTACCGTCCGCTACACATTTTAAGATGGCTGTTTGAGTTTCATTAACTGTTGTTCCAGCAGGTCGCTGAAGCAGAGAAGGAGCCGAAATGGACTTTCCCTGTTCACCCTTGACGCCTTTCTGCCCCGCTAGGCCTCTAGGTCCCGCGGGACCAGGATCACCCGGTACTCCGAGATCCCCTTTCAGACCCATCGGTCCTTGAGGTCCTATTGGTCCATGTTTACCAGGAGGTCCCTCTGGCCCGAGTCTCCCTGGGGGGCCTGGTCTTCCTCGGTATCCTGGTTTTCCCCGTCGTCCATTGTTACCTTTTGATCCTGACTGGCAAATTGTTTCATCTTTAGCACAGATTTGGTTTTGCATCAAACGAAGCTCTTCTTTGATTAGCAGTTTTACTTCAGAAACTGTTTGGACCAATTGCTGTTGTGAATTATGTGGTGAAGCTCGCTTTATTCTTAAGAAATCGTCTGTCCCATCTATTGATAAATGAAAGCAGTAATGAAAATTCCTCTCAAGAGTGACTGACAAACATTTCTCGTAGTATGGGCATATTTTTGAAAAAGTAAAACTTTTGACTTGCAAAATTAGATAAATTGTTTGTTTGTTTTTTTAATTCGTTCTTGCTATAACTGTTAAATCTGAACGTCCCACGAGTTTTAGGTAGAAATAATAATAATAATAATAATAATAATAATAATAATAATAATAATAATAATAATTCTGAAATAATTGTAGAAAAGAATGGGAAATTAACCTTCTTTCAAGCGGCCACCTCTATTAATCGGCCGCGGCACCTTTTGATCGTCCTAACGAGATATGATCAAGGAAACAAAAATCCGAGATGGAAGTTGATGACCGATTGTAGAGCAGTAATGCTTCTCCCGTCGTGTGTTTGTTCAAGATATGGTGATGTCTCTGCTAATTTATGACAAACGTATATTGAGCGACCAACCTCCATTTAGCGGCCACTTACCGTTACCCGGAGGTTGGCCGCTTAAGGAAAACACTACAACCTTGCATTCGATAGTGGCTAAGAAGCTACCTTTCGCTATTACTAGGGCCTATTTCATGTTTGTAAAAACCCATTTTCTGAGGGAACATCTCTAGGGACGAGGAATGTCTTGAAAATAATGACCGAAAACTATTGCGGTCGTCAAAACATGAGTAACAACTTACGCCGCGCAAAACCTGACCTCGTATTTCTTGCCAATGACCTCCTGAATGGCTTTCCTTGTTGGCTTGCCAGTGTCCATAGCTCTTCGGTTGTAATTTCTTGAGTATTTTTGTCTCAATCTGATCACAGCTTGTTATTGAGTATGATATCAGTCGCTGATGTTCCTGTGTTCTGAGTTCAACGTGAATCAGTGCGATGCAGCTCACTACAGATAACAACAAAGCTGACCTGGAGCACAACATGTCGAGTGCTTTCCTTCTCTCCGCCTTCTTCTCCTCTTTTTCGCTTTGCTTCATGGTTAAAATCGTTTTCACAGACGTGAGACGGGCCTACGTAAGGTGGAGGGCTTAGTGTTCTCGGATAAGGTACGTGTCTCAGTTCTAAGTCTTTTGAAACAACGAAAGCCGTCCTGGGACGAACATTAATTGTTGGAGTAGTGGACGTATGGAGGAGACAGATGGTCTAAATTCCAAAAATGATGTAATCAACACTGCTTATACTGTAAGTGATATGATTATTAATAAATGAAAATCGAAAGTGTATGCAAATCGGCTTCTTATACAGTAATATCTTAATAGCCATTTTCTAGCTGTTCACGTTCATGTTTTGCCTTGTGTTCGAATTGAAAAGAACAAGTAAAGAAGCATACAGTAAAATATTTGCTCAAAATGGTAGCAAAACAGCGTATCTCAAGTGACCAATCGATCTTGTTTCATCCATGTTACCCTCCAGGTGTCTGCGTATTGTTATATACCATCTGCCATTAGTGTTTTACCTTAGGTAAAATTTCAAGCTTTATCTGATTCTAATTCCTTTAGGAACATTGATTCCAATTTATATTTTTCTCTTCTAGGAAAATAGGGGGCCGGTATAAAAGGCACAGTGAGGCACGCCGCCAGTAATTAGTAAAAATGTCACCAGTAGCTCTTAATATAGTATCAACAAGTTTAACCTCTGGCCAAGAAAAAAAAACGTGCGATCGCATGATCTTTAAAATAGTCACGTCACCTTAAGTTCATAAGGCCGGCAATAACTACGATAGTCAAGGATTGCCCACACCGATCGAGTTATTCTTAGCGCTCCAGAATATCCTAAGGCGGCAACTCGATAACTGGAAATGTTTGCAAAATATGAATGGAATTGCCCTTTTTCACGCGTTCAGCAATACTTTTTATTTATAAAAATAAATACTAAATAAATTACATGGCTAAAACGTATGAAAAAATGGCCTAAAAAGAAAAGGTAAAAGTCTTGAATGGAAAGGAAAAGAAGAAAAGCAGCAAATTACATGAGTACCATGATGTTTCAAAACTATCCGTATATAACGCTCAGAACCGGGAGTTTTTTAGCGACGCAGGTCAACCGTAAGATACAACGTTTTGTATTGCTTGGCTTTGGTTTTTGTTTGCTCCAACACTCACGAGGGCGTGCACAACTGAAGTTTTGGCCCTGTTCTCATTTAATCCGTCGCGACATTGTTGAACAGCAATTAAAAACAGTTTGAGGTCTTAGCCTTAATCAAATGTTGAAAGTCTTGAGAACTCAACAGTAATAGTAGTTGTGGTAGTGGTAGGTTGCTGTAGAGGGTAAGAAACCTGATATTTAGCTGCAAAGTGTACAAATGAGAAAACATGTGATGAGAAGTTTCTTGATGATCCATTTCTTTCCTCGTATCGATTTTCGGTGTCAAAGTCCTTGATCAAGCAGCCGTGAAAAGTCCTGCCCCAACAGCTTGCCTTGTTTTCGGTAGCTTGATGTCGAGCGTCTCTTAGGGCTGAAACGGAAAAAAAATGCTTGACTTAGTTAAGACCACAAACGAGCCACAAGGTAGCAGATTCTTTATTTAAGGCACTTCTTCTTCACAATGGATCACCGGATGTAAGTGTACCGGAGTGTTAGCTCTAGCATTAGGCTGCCGGTATCCGTTTTAACACCGGAGTGTAGAGATATACTAGACCAGTTATGGCCCCTCAAGTTGCAAAACAAAGATAGTGGAATGGAACTGGTGCAAGGGAGAATGTGGATCAAAGTTGTTTGCCTGCAAAACAACACACTGCTATTGAACCCAGCTACACATCTGGGTGGGGACAATATGAAACAAAGTTTCCTGTCTACGGAAACAACTCAGTGACTATGTATCGCCCACTTGTACACCTGAGAGGAGAGAGAAAGACAACTGAAGTGCTTTGAAGTTACTTGTCCATTAATGGATCGCCACACCAACATGCCCATTTATACACCTACCTCACCGTGGAGAAAAGTTCCGGATTTGTTATAAAGCACAAAGCGCTAATGATCATCCACCCTCACTTAAGGAAACCTTGTATAGCAGGAATCGCCTTCAAACAAAACAGTATGAAGGAATCTTACCTTCTGTAACTGCCTTTACTTCCGTCTGTGTGACTGCTGGTTGAAGCTAAAGACGGTCTAAAAGATGAATCACGGTGAGCCCTGCAGGTGGAAAGAGAGATGACCTTAGTAAGACTTCATATATAGTCTTCCATTTTTGTTTCTTGTTTCTGCTACAAGTGAACGCAATGGTTCGACAACTTCACACAAACAAATTTCCAGGACTTTTCAAGGACAAAGATTTATTCAATAAATCGGCATTCTTTAACCCCCTTTTGAACACATTATTGGCTAAAACACGTCATGGAGTCATTTACGATTTTTACTTCTTAGCCATGGTTGATCACATTATTTTATACTACTTTCCGCGACAACACTTTGTAAAATGACTGGGTATGACCTGCAATTGCATCTGAGGTACAGAAACAGCATTTAAAATAAAGTAACAGAAGTAAGATATTACTCATGCACAAAAATGTTCTTAGACAAAGTAGTGAATTTCAAGGATTTTTAAAGATATAATATAGAAATCAAGTACTTTCAAGGACATTAACCGAATTCAAGGACTTTTCAAGACAGTCACTAAAATTCAAAACCTTTTCAAGATTGTGCGAATCATAGAACGCGTATTAGCGGTGTGTAAGTGTGAAAAAACGTCGGGGGCGTGGAGGGAAGCTGGCTGGTGGCAATTTCCAAATCGAAAATACGCATTTAAGTTTGAGCGTTTCGTTTAGAAAAAAACTCAGGGGCACTAAGACAAGGATAGAAAACTGTTATTGTTGGCGCGACAAGTTGAATTGTGTACTACACTTGCTGAATAACGACACTCCGTGTAAACTGTTAATTCTCAGTTGACTTAACATTAAATCCTACGTCACACTTACGACAAAGGAACAAAGATCTTTGAGTTATCCTCATCTCTGTAATCTGTGAAGTTATGTAGCGATGCTTTTTTAGCACCAAAACCATCCTGTAACAGAAAGCGAAATAACTCGTGTCAGTGAAATACAAAGGATCATGGTAGTCACAATCTTTATGACCGCAAGGGTCGCAAGTCGTCTAGCCTGTGTACAGCCTCTCCCTCCCCTCAAAAAAAATTACTCAAGCTACGAGTCGTCGAGACGTGTCATATAGACGTGATAAAGACATCGAGACGTGCAGTATAGAGGTAGTTTAAATGGAAACATTCTAAAGCAGGTGTTTAGTGGTATCCACTTGTAGTTCGCTTAAGGAAAAGAAGGCAAATGAAAATCTAGCCCGCGTAATCCCGCCAGCGACGCAAGCTAATGAAAATCAATAGGAGTAATTAAGGAAAGTCAAATAAAAACGTTACCACGCCAGGAATAAACTGTCCATGGTCACTAAGGCCGTCATCACTCATGGGTCTCCTGCACGCAGCTGCTAGCTCTTTCTTTAGAGTAGCTATGTGTGCCTTGTGTGATTCAATTTCCTCTTCCAAGTGCGTGACGCGTGACAATGCCTGTTGCTTGTCCATTTCAAGTTCGGAGATGCGGTCTAGCGCCTGCTGTTGACACTCCATAAATGACGTCACTACGTGCTGATAGAAAACAAACCAAATTAACAAATAAAAAGACGTTTGGGGTTTTACTGTTCGGTTCTCACATCACATTTCAACTGATAGCCTTAAGTACCTGGCAGGACAGTAACTCGGGGCCCAGGCTTAACCCATCCATTGCCAACCGTTCGGTCGGAAGAATAAGCTGGGGAAGGGAGTGTTCGTAGGGCCCCAATGCACCCTTGGATAGTCGCACTTGATCTTTACTCTGTTCCAGGACTCGCTCGACTGACTTCAAATAACCCATTAAGGCTTCCTTCTCCCTAAAACAAAAACAACAGAGAGATCTTATTAGGTACAACCTTAACTGTGCGATGCCCATTATAATCCATCTACGATACCTATTCAAACTGTTTATTTTTGAGTTTCATCTGTGGATAAAATCCCAAAAAGTAAAAATTCAAATTAAAGTTTCTGAGTGGTCAGGGTCGGCCAGGGGGTAGTTGAATACCAAAATACCCGCCGAAATAAACCTTCCAACATACCACTAAAACTCGTGTGAAATACCAACATTAAGAAAACCATGGTATACTTTATACCCAAAATTATTTGTAAGTAAATAGTTTATACCCAATTTTAACTATAAAAATACTGTATACCTCATATTAAATACCCCAATATATTGTATACCCGAAAGCCTTGGCCAACCCTGACAGACCCACTGATCCATTAATTTGATCCACATATCCACCGTTCTAGTGATCTACCACAGATCCATCGATTTGCAGATCTACTGATCCATTCATCTACAGATCCACCGCTCTAGCGACCTACCACAGATCCATCGATCCACAAATCTACTGATCCATTGATCCACAGTTCTAGCGATCTACCACAGATCCATCGATCTACACATCTACTGATCCATTAATCTACAGATCCACCGCTTTAGCGATCTACCACAGATCCACCGATCTACAGATTTATTCATCTACAGATCCACCGATCTACCACAGATCAACCATTCTAGCAATCTACCACAGATCCACCGATCTACCACAGCTCCACCGTTCTAGCAATCTACCACAGATCCACCGATCTATCACAGCTCCACCGTTCTAGCAATCTACCACAGAGCCACCGATCTAGCGATCTACTGATCTGGCGATCCAGGGATCTGCAGATCCATCGATCTAGCGATCCATCGATCTACAGATCCACTGATCCATTCATCTACAGATCCACCGCTTTAGCGATCTACCAGAGATCCATCGATCTACAGATCTACTGATTTATTGATCTACCGACCCACTGATCTAGCGATCTACTACAGATCAACCGTTCTAGCGACCTACCACAGATCCACCGATCTAGCGATCCACTAATCCACTGATCTAATGATCCACCGATCTGGTCATCCATCGATCTGCAGATCTACTGATCCGTGGATCTACAAATCCACCGATCTAGCGATCCACTGATCTACAGATCCACCGATCTATCGATCTACAGATCTTCTGATCCATTCATCTACAGATCCACCGATCCATCGATCTACAGATTTATTGATCCAGAGATCCACCGATCTACCACAAATGGACCGTTCTTGCGATCTACCACAGATCCACCGATCTGCCGATCCATCGATCTACAGATCTACTGATCCATGGATCTACAGATCCACCGATCTAGCGATCCATCGATCTACAGATCCATGGATGTACAGATCCACCGCTTTAGCGATCTACCAGAGATCCATCAATCTACAGATCTACTGATTTATTGATCTACCGACCCACTGATCTAGCGATCTACTACAGATGAACCGTTCTAGCAATCTACCACAGATCCACCGATCTAGCGATCTATCGATCCACTGATTCCATCGAGCTACAGATCTACTAATCTATTGATCTACAGATCCATCGATCCATCGATCCATCAATCTACCGATCTACTAACTTCTTGATCTACAGATCCACCGATGTACCACAGATCCACCGGTCTAGCGATCAATCGATCTACTGATCCACTGATCTAATGATCCACCGATCTGGTGATCCATCGATCTGCAGATCTACTGATCCATGGATCTACAAATCCACCGATCTAGCGATCTACCACAGATGCATCGATCTAGCGATCTACTGATTCACTGATCTACAGATCCGCCGATCCATGGATCTAGAGATCCACCGATCTAGCGATCTATCGATCTACAGATCTATTCATCTACAGATCCACCGATCCATCGATCTACAGATCTACTGATTTAATGATCCAGAGATCCACCGATCTACCACAGATGGACCGTTCTTGCGATCTACCACAGATCCACCGACCTACTGATCCACTGATCTACAGATCCACCGATCTGGCGATCCATCGATCTACAGATCTACTGATCCATGGATCTACAGATCCACCGATCTAGCGATCCATCGATCTACAGATCTACTGATCCATGGATGTACAGATCCACCGCCTTGGCGATCTACCACAGATCCATCGATCTAGCGATCTACTGATTTATTGATCTACCGACCCACTGATCTAGCGATCCACTACAGATCAACCGTTCTAGCGATCTACCACAGATCCACCGATCTAGCGATTCATCCACCTACAGATCTACTGATCTATTGATCTACAGATCCATCGATCTACATATGTACTGATTTATTGATCTACAGATCCACCGATCTAGCGATCTACCACAGATCCACCGATCTAGCGATCTATCGATCCACTGATCTACAGATCCACTGATCTGGCGATCCATCCACCTACAGATCTACTGATCTATTGATCTACAGATCCACCGATCCATCAATCTACAGATCTACTGATTTATTGATCTACAGATCCACCGATCTACCACAGATCCACCGACTCACCACAAATCCACCAATCTAGCGATCCATCGATCTACAACTCCATTGATCCATTAACCCTACAAATCCACCGATCTACCGATCTACAGATTCATTGATCCACAGATCCACCGTAGTAACGATCTACCACAGATCCGCTGATTTAGCGATCCATCGATCTACAGATCCACTGTTCTAGCGATCTACTACAGATGCACCGATCTAGCAATCTACCACAGGCCTACAGATCTAGGGATCCATCGATCTTTAGCTCTACTGATCCATTGATCTACAGATCCACCGATCTACCACAGATCCATCATTCTAGAGATCTACCACAGATCCAACGATCTACCACAAATCCACCGTTTTAGTGATCTACTGATGATCCGTTGATCTACAGATCCACCAATCTAGCGATCCACCAATCCATCGATTTACAGATCTACTGATCCATTGATCTACAGACCTGAGTGGTTTAGCCTTATGAATGAGCAGTTGCAGTCCAGCCCACTAACAATTTCACATGTAAATATAGGTTACTGACTTGTTGAACTGAAACATTTATTCTTTCAAACAAAACTTTTGGAAATTCTGTTAAACTTAAACTAAGGTTTAGTCCTACTATGTATTAAGAAAAGTTATCTCACGCTGAAAAAGTGTAACATTTAACCGCGCATTCCCGTGTGCTAAAACCTAGATAAAATCTAAAATTCTAACGCAAATTTCTCAAAGAAACGTAACAAAAGTTTAACAACCTAGCGGCAGCTGTCATGGTTTTCTCTGCATCACTGAGCCTGTCCATCAAAGTGTTCTTTTCGCTTTCCATATAGCTCATCTGTTTGGATACCTGGCGAATAGCGTGTTCTTTACGACGAAGTTCCATTTTGGCTTCACTGAGGCCCTATTCGACAACACAAATGATATTCAATGAACGAGGAAACAAGTTGGAAATTGAAAATTGATCAGTTGAGGGACAAGTTTTTGTTAGTGTTCACGGTAGTTCCATTAGCGACTTTCACATTTAATTTGAGCATAAATACAAAGCTGAATACGGGTACAGCTTTCGAACTTCACATCCCCGGATCTCTCACTCTCCTGTTGCTACTCAGCAATTAGATAGACGCACGTGGGGTTGAGGTGGGCAAACGAAGCAGCTGCAACATATTTCAGGTAAATAGCTGGAGTCTTTCCTTGTTTGTTAAAAAAGTGATGAGCTATTTACTTCAAAGCCTTCGCTTGGCTCATAGCATCTTTGCGCGCCATTAGAGGCGCATTCTTTCAGCGTAAATGCGCCGTTTCACTTTTGGGCGGGAATTCCGCAAGGCCACGGCCCTGTAAGGTCACTTCTATAGCAAGCCGACAATTACACTATGTATGCACAGTACCTTGACAGCTTCAGCCAATGTGACGTCCTTCTCCTCGCCCTGATTTGCATGAAGTTCCAAGCGATCCCCCATCTCCTGCATCTGAGCCGTCTGTTCGTGGAGCAGGGCCTGGGCCTGTTGTTCTCGTTTTAATGCGTTGTTGAGTTCCTCGCAAACACTATCGAACCGGGCCATGGGAACCATGGATAGCATCTATCAGAAAAATAAAGGAACTTAAAATATGACATACTCGAGCTGCAAACGAACAGGGTTCAGTGTTGAGTTCACCTCTAACAACAAACACTTTAAGATTTGTACTACGTTCAATCCAGTCCTGGACACCGGTCGTTTTGATATTAAGTCGTTTCGATTCATGTTGATTCAGTCGAGGTGTACTTGGCTTAAAGAACGAGAAATATTCACCTTTTTTTTCTTGTTAACGCGCAAACTATACTTGAAGTGATCGAAATCGCTGTGCAGTTTCACTGCTTGAGTTCGTATCGAAACAGGTTTGTATCAAAACGATCGGTTTCCATCATCCCTCCACTCCTTCTTTAAAAGAATATTTTGAACATACCTCTTCTTTTATCTCCTGGAGTCTCTCCTCCAGGGCGCGCGCTTCATCTTTTGTCTTACGGTACTGAGACTCCGCCGAGGCCTGGGCCCCCTTGACCTCCGCGGTTTCCTGTTTATGTTTGGACAGTTCAAGGCGCAGTGCACGCCGGTCCACTTCTGCTGAGTGAAGCCGCTGAGTAAAGCCCAGGATGTGACTCTGAAGTGCGCCTATTGTCCGCTGTGTGAAAAAAATATGTATATAACCAATGTGTGAGTAATAAACTCGTCTAATGTCTTTAATTAAGGAAACATCCTAGGTGGGAGGCGTCGACAATTTTTCCTCCGGTCCCCTCCTGTAGTTTGTTTAAACTTTTGGGTGTTACTATCTCTGGTGACTTAACATGGATTGCGCACATCACGGAAGTTACTAAGAAGGCAGCTAAGAGGCTCTATTTTCTTGTTCAGCTAAAAAGAGCTCGTGTTCCACAGAAAGATTTATGCCTTTTTTACATCACATGCGTGCGCTCCGTCATTGACTATGTTGCGCCATTTTTCCATCACGCGCTACCAGCCTACCTTTCGCAAGAATTAGAACGCGTTCAGAAAAGAGCAATGCGAATCATATGTCCTGGTATAGAATATCAGCAAGCTTTAGCGCTTATGAGTTTACCAACGGTTGCGGAGCATCACCACAACATTTACACGCGCACGTTTGAAAGCATAATGAGCGACCCGAACCACAAGCTAAGAAAGTTGTTGCCGCCTCCATATAGAGCAACTATAATCTAAGGCACGCGCGCACTTTCATTTAGCCTCGTTGCAAGACAAATAGATTTAAGAACAGTTTTTTATGGCCTCAGGCAGAATTGTAAATAATTTTTAGGTTTCTTATTATACGTTTTTAGTTTTAGCTATTACAATTATTGCCCATATTTACAATTGTTAGTATAAATTATTATCATTATGTAAGTACGCAATTCAGCTTATGCTGCAATGTATTTAATAAAGTACCTATCTATATACCTATCTATCTATCTGATACTTAAATTACTTCTCCCCATTACTTTTATAAGAAATGCATGGGGTATTTTGACATATTTAAAGGGTTAATTTCTAGTATGATTTTTTAAAACTTCAGCATACGTAACACCATGTATAACAAACCTGAGAAGAGATGTAAGAAAGTCCAGGGGCAGGACCTCTCGCTAACCATTTCTGTAGCCCCAGGCCTAACAGCCCCATAAGCTCCCCTCTGAAACCAGAGTACCGCTCGTGCCAGGACTCTTCTCCTATTGCCCGGCCACTAAATTCTGTTTGAAGCCCGGAGATGATTTTGTTATAAGCATTTCTGGCCGCCGCGATAACATTGGTTACGGAAGCGGGACTGGCCACTCTACCTGTGTTATCTGCAAAGAAAAAAGGCACTTAGATAAGCAAAATCCAAGGACAATCTGAGCACCGTTAATTTCCTATAACCCAGAGGTTCGAGAGTAAAGATTCCATATTGCTTTCTCTCAGATAAAAATATCAAGATAGGTGACGAAATGTTATGGCGTGTTCAATTCTCTTCAATATCTTACTAACCTCTTGAGTCACGTTCAGGTTCTCCATCCCGGGCTTCCCTCATCCTTCCCAGTGCTGACTGTAGCTCACTTACTGCACTGGTCACGTGACTTTGCAATTGCAGGCTAGTAAACCAGGCCTGTGCTGACGTCACTTTTAAGCAGGCATGTGATGTATCCCCTGAAAGTGATTCTCTCCTGTGGTAACCTGCAATTCCTGTAAAATAGGAGGATTTCAGCTGTTTTTCTTTTTGAAGCCTCGAAAGTTTTTGGAAATCAAGACTGTTTTGATATCAGTGTTAATTCCAAAATAATGCTGCAAACGAATTGAAAGGAGAAAATGGTTGGTGCAGATCAACTGGAAATGTTACATTCGAGATCAGCGTACACCATTTGCGCCAGTTACTGTAGTTCACTCGGTTAGAGACTGGAACTAGCCATGCTTACGGCGCAGGGACTGGATCTGGGAGACAGAAACAAATATAACGAATACTTGCGTTCGGATATTCCGGTTGAGTTTTAGATGACGCCATTGGAAGTTCTGTTTCCTCTAAAAATTGCTTTCAAGAGCCATGCAAACTAAACAGGACTTAGAGATCTGCTTTTATTGTTTACTACTGGAAAATGTCCACAGCAACTTCAGTGGGGCTGGGAGGGACGGGAGGGAGAGTAGATGTTTGACAAGCTAAAATTGTCATAAAATGCCTCCATAAACAAATACTTTTTAGAGAGACATCACGCATTCAAAACGTATCATCTACCTTTAAATTCTGGTGCTTTCCTCGACAATTTTCCAGTACAGACAGTCGACATCCCGCCAAACTCTCCCGGGGATTCAGACGAGACGAACAACTTTAAACTACAAGCACCAAAATGTCGCAGCCTGTTCGCTGCAATTACAGTGATCACGCCGACTCTAAACACCAAAACAGGGCTCCGTCCATCTCTTAAGACACGCCCCTTCACGGATGTCTCCTCCTTTTTTCCCTTCTCGCCTTCCATTTCATTGCTTAGCATTTCACCTAACGTGTTAGACTGATCTCTGAGGGATTCTAAAGTTCTCAAATAGTCGGATAAAATTTTTCGCTGTGACGCTAATGCCCGTATTCGACCAAATGCGGGCCACAAGGCGCCTGCGAGAAGCGCGCAGACAGTTAATAAGGAGGATTCACTTCTTTGACTTTGTTCCAGTGACTGTTGGAGTCGTGCGTTTTCCATTTCTAGTGAATCCTTAGCTTGCCCTGTTTCCTGTGCTCTTTCCCAAGCTTGGTCGGCCATCGACTGGGTTTTCTGTGGCAAACGAAAAAGGAAACAAAATATTTAACATAGAAAGGTTTCCTCTCAAGCAGTGAAACTCAACTCAAACTAACTCAGTACTCTGACAAATCTCAAGAAACACAAAATCCAGTAAGAAGCACAGCGGGAAATACGAGAAAACTAAGAAAACAATTTGAGAAAAATTTGAAATTTGAGGAGATCGTGATTGGTTTAGGTACATGATTTTTATTTGATCGTCGCCAGCCTCTTTCGCACGAACACACGAGTTCTTGTCTCGAAGTCAAACATAAAAAAAGCAAAGTATACTGTACCTGGGTTCTTGTATGCAGATCTTTTATTAAGTTACTGTAGTGTTCTTCTATTTCACTCTTTTGTTTTCTCCACGAGTTTTCGCGGTCTTTAATGGCGGAAGAAAGCTGGCAATTTAAACAAAATGACACATTTTATAATAATGAAAGTTGTTGGCTAAAATACGTAAATTACGCGTTTCTGACTTCAAGGTATTATTTCAAAATTCCAAACTCGAACAACTAGATTTCGTACAAACTTACTGAGGAATTCAAGCAATGATGAAACACGTCACAGTTTATCACTTATTTCAGTAACTTCATGGCTCGCTATTGAGAAGTCAAAACTGCAGTTTGGTTTAAGTTAACTTTTCAGTTTTTTTTTCCGTTTTGTTGTCTCTTAAGTTTTAACGAAATCAGAATACATATCTTACCTTGGAGACTGTTTGTTCATGCGCCTCTTGAGCGTGTCGAAGGGACTCTTCTTTGCTCATCAAAACACTTTCAAGGTGTTGAATCTAGAAACAAATTCCAATTTTAATTGAAGGCAGACCTTTATTTACAAAAGGTGATTAGGAAATGGCACATCACTGGAAGCACTCTACACTGGTTAGCTGCCTCCCTCAAGTTTTTGACAACCGGAAATATAGAATGGTTACAAATTATTGGCTCTGCAGGTGGTTATCCTGGTCAACCCTTTTAGCCCTAGTGTCCACCCAAAAATTCTCCACATTGATCTCTATACGTTCCCTTAAAGAATTTATTGGTGATCATTTCGTTTATTTATTCTCATAACCATTTCTCTTAATTGTGTATATTGTTGGGAGAAAATTGATGTTGGTCACTCTTGGGGTTAAGAGGGTCAAAGAGGGAGCTCAGGGACTCTAAAAGCAAGATGGTAGCCCTGGGGAGAGTAGAGAAAGAGAGTAAGGGCCTGTTTTCATGGAGGTGGGGGACCCCAGGTAGGTGTGGTAACCCGCTTAGGTGGGGTAACCCGCCTGTCCATATAATCTTTCATTTTAATTTGTTACATGATAGGTGGGGTGACCCGCCTCATGCTACCTCACCTATCTGGGGTCCCCCACCTCCATGTAAACAGGCACTAACTCACTGGCTTTCTGCATAACTTCCATTCATTGCACAATCCACGCACGTTCTAGACGTGAGTTTAATTGAAACTTTCATGTTTCGTGCCGTGAAGATAAGGTATGGAGCTTAGCGACTAACAATTAAGTCAGAAGGTTCCAATGTACTAACCCTCTCGTTGGCCCTTTTTAATTCACTGAGTTGAGCTGACACTTGTTCCGAGACCAGATTACACATGTCTGTCCAGGAATATCTGGACAGCGCGGAGTCTGGTGATGAGACATACACTTGTCCGGTGAGCATCCGCTGATAGAGTGAGTGCAGGAACATGCGGTGGGTCTGAAACACACCAACAAGAAAACAATCAAAAGACAGAAATTTGAAGACACAATTTAACCTTCGCCTGTCTGACGAACTTGAAAAACTAGCTTGCTATGTAGACCTTTTTGTTGCTTTCTCAAGTCTTCGTGGATGGCCAGACCAGTTTAGATTCAGGGAGTCGAACCTCTACTCAATGAAAATCATACAATCCCCACTACAGTTATAAAACGGATGCTTGGGACTGCCTCTTTGGTGTCCATTGCAGAGGATTTGACTGTGGTTGCCCAGTTTAACCGGCGGGAACCGCCCAGGTGCACTGCCTATTTAGTGAGCAGTCTAAACTGTTAAATAGATCCCATCGTAACTCTGTTTGTGCATATTTAGCAAATGATAGTATCTATAAAGGACTGCTTTCTGCTTTGTTTTTGCAAGTAAGCGTTATGAAAGATCAAGAAATGAGAAATAGTTTTGGAGAAGACTTGCCTCATCTTCGCGACTTAGGACGCTCTTTACTTTGGTATTCTGCAATCGATAAAGAAATGTTATTATAATTTCTGCTAACGATGACTGTGAACTGGTTTTACGAACAATTATTGAACTTAACCTCTCCCCTTCAACTTTCCACAACAATGGCTTGCCAAGTCTCACCTGCATTAACAATGAGTTACTAAGGTTGGAACGAACTAAAAAGACATTGAACATAACCGATTTAAGTGCGATCTGTTGCTACCAGAGAAACTCTTGACAACAGCAAATGGTGTTATCCCTTTGGTGTACGATCCATGTTATCACTGATTCGACCATACAAGAACATTTTTTGTGACAACTATCATAAAGATCGCATACTTCGTTAGCGCGCTTTTCTGAAAATATCTGCTTTAAAACAAAGGATACCTAAGAGAAGAGAGCCTCGCGAAGAAATCTGATTTTCCTTGATTAAGGCCTAGAAAAACACCAAGGCAGAGAGGAAGCGCTACAGCTACAGCAAGTAACCAACCTATGCGGTTTATAGCAACCTTTGCGGTTAACTCAGTGTCGTCAATTAAGCAAATCTTACCTCCTCCTCTGAGTTTTGAACCTTGTTTTTTGCTTCCTCTACCGCTTTATTCAACGACTGCATCTCAATCTTCATGGCCGCTATCGTGGTCTCCTTTTCCGCGCATTCAGCACGTGACTTGGCCAGCTCCTTCGCTTTAGACGACATGGCGCTTTCTGCTTCCTGAAGAGAAAAGAAAAAGTCATGTGTTCGAAAAGCAATTGTTTTTACTGGTTGGATACACGGTGATGATAGGTGCTTTTAAAAACTACCGAAGATATAACATAGAAACGAGACAAGCGATTCCGGGCGACAAAAGACGCGAAGTTGTGGCGAAAGCAAAAAGCCTGACGGCGGCGAAGTTTAAAGTCTTCCGAAAGGAAACACTGAGATCCTCGCTTTTGAAGGTAACACGACTTGACTCATTGTTTGAAAAAATTCTGCACTTAACATAGCTGAATCCAAAATGTTTTCTGGATTAAAGAAAAAAAAAAGAAAAGAATTGCACTGCCTTAAGGCTCTGCCAGAAAAAATGGTTTCTGACGAGCCTAGGATACGAGGGTTGGTAAAGCATGTGTTTGAACAGGTTTAGTTTTTTTTCTAGTCGTGATTGGCTGAAGCTGTTTTATTCGACGTCAGTACTATAACAAACGCAAGACCAGGACAAGTCAGAGGGAACTAATTTTGAATATCACTTACGATTAACTTACTTTCATGGCCTTTTCTCTGCTGGTCACCATTTCCCTGTAATGCTCACAGTCTGCTGATAACTTTTCCACGACGTCTCTCAACTGTTTGAGCTAAGACAAAAATTCACTACAGTTATTTCTAATGAGAAATGACTGACCCGCCATATGACGCTGACACACAACTACAAACAGAATATGCAGCCTCTGCTGGGTGCTCTTCGAGAGACCACCCAAAACAAAGCGAGCGACTGATAATCAACAAGGCGCGGGGTATCATGGGAAGGAGAAGAACTGTGGGCAAAGAGCCATCTTTCCCATCCCATAATCCTTTTTGCCTGACTGAGAGGAGAGGCCAAAGAACTAGATACGATCGAGGGGAATAGTTAGTTTGATTTTCTGCATAACATTATGTTAAGCGCTTAGCTACACAGATTCGGAAAAGAAAGAAGCAAGCCACATCTGTAACACATTTTATACCGGAAGGGAAACAATTGCCCATATGAATCCCACGATGAATACATATCGATTCAGTTAAACCCAGCCCACATAAACACGCGATCACCAGTTATAGTAAAAGATATGTCCATATATATATAATTGTTTGTGGGAGGTGGCAATCACAAGCTTAGCTACAGTAGAGGGCATAACTTAGGGCCCTTAAATCCTTTAGATGGGCGACACTTGAGGGGTTAGATCCTTACAATGATTACCTCAGCTGAAGCATTAGAGCATCTATTCTGATAATCTACCAGCGTATGACGAAGATTCTCCAACACAGCAGCTGGTGATAGAGCCTTCTTTTTCTCTTTCCTCTGACCTGTAAAGAAAAGAGGAGAGAAAACTCTTACATACTCTCGGTTGACTGACAAACATTTCAGCATATCCTGCAAACGACTAGACCTTTCGCATGGCTCGGATAACCACGATAAAAATCTCCAGGGACATACAAACAGTGTCTGCAATCAGCAGTCCAAGCTTTTGCTACATATTACTTGTTTGTTGGGTGTAGCTGGATATCTTAAGTATTGTACTTCCTTACCTCGTAACTGTCTACTCAGTCCAATCCCCTTCTTGGTTAAGAAAACGTAATATTATTATTTTAAAACAAAATAACGAGTTAGGTCTTTACAGAGTTTAAAAGTCACCTTGCCGCTTATGTTCCTCGGGTTTTTCAATTTGAAAATTATCCAAAAGCAATTCCAGCTCTCGCATGCTACTTCCATAGGTTGTATCCAGCTGAATCTGGCGTTTTTTGGCCTAAAAAAAGAAACGACCTTTGAGAATTTAATAACCTTGTTTGTTAATGTCGATGGAAAAAATGTCTTAGGCCCACAAGAGTCAAGGAGGTCAAATGAACTTAAAAATGATTCCAGTAAGCGAAAGAATTGCACAAGAATAATTTGTCAAGAGGTAATGAAAGTTAGGGGTTAGGGTTAGTCAGTGAGTTTAAAAGACATCGATGATCAAATGATGTTTTCGTTTGGGATGGCACGAGTAAAAAGAAAACACCAACAAGACGCTGTTCTAACTTTTCCTAGTGCTTCGCTGTAAGTCCTCTGAACTTTCATTCATTTAGTTCAGCGAGAATACGTACGCATAGCGTTCGGTATTCAGTGCTTGACTATTATTTGGAAAGTTGAGCCTGTGTTGACTCAAAGGCAAGTGGAAAGATTGCATGTTTGTGACCAAATGGCAAAAACGTCGCTCGGAAGATTTAGACTTGGGCAATATAATCCACAGGAAGACCAGGTGAAAAACATTGTTCATGTAACACACTGAGAAGCTAAATCAATCCTAACGTTTCACCTGACTGAGCTCCATTTTCAAGGCATCAAAGTTTTTCTGGTGTACTTCAAGCTGCTTAGACAAATCTGTGATGATTTGAAGTTTTTCGTCTATTTCCTCTTGAAGCTTCTTTTTCTCTGACCCAAGGCTCTCTTCCAGACGTGCAACTTTCGATTTCTCAGCTTTACAAGCATCTCTTTCCTCATCAAAAGCCGCCTCAAGTTCCCTACACAAAATAATTCAACCCTGTAAACTAGCACCATCCCAGATTCAGCTAACATTTTGTTAATTTGGAGTTGTCATTGTATGGGCAAGTTTGGTGAGTGGTGACCATTCCCATTGAGGTCTAAAGATAGTTTACTTGATAGTCGTCAAGAAATGAAACCTTGTGGTCTGTTCCCGTGGGATGATCCAATTACGCAGCTTCTTCTGGGAGCCATCGCTTTGTGTGTGTGTGTGTGTGTGTGTGGGGGGGGGGTGACTTTCAATTGCTACTTAAAAGCATTTAACTTGATTTAATTTGATAGTTATTATTAGAGGGGTCGTACATTCAAGACTTTTTCCAGACATTTTTCCAAAACAATTTTTTCCAGACTTAATGTTACCAAATAGGTGGTCAATAGAGACCTTGAAAAACCTTTTTTTTTTCAAAATGCACTGCAAATGTCAGTAACCACGATACGGTACTGTCCAATGCGGACAAAGGAGAGTTATGAAACTTCTCATTCTCTGATTATATGCCTTGGCTACGAGCACTTGTTGTAGCTTTAAAAGAAAACTCCAGACTTTTTACAATTTTCCAGACTTAGTATCTAATTTCCAGACTTTTTCCATGCCTGGAAAATTGCTTTGCAAATTTCAAGACTTTTTCAAGAATTCAAGACTCTGTATGAGCCCTGTGATTACTATAATTCTAGGGAGGAGGATCTCTACAGAAACAAACCTGTGCTGTTTAGTCAGTGCCTCCAGGTTGTATTTAACTTCTTTAACTTCTGATTTTTCAACCTCCAAAGCACCTTCAAGATCTCTTACCCTGAGCTGAACAAAGAAAGTGAAATAATATCTCAGCTTGAACAGTTTCTTTGGATTTATTTTAACTAGTAATCAGGCTTACTTCTTTTTTTTAGTAACCCCTTCACTCTTTAGGTGAGAAAGGTGAAGAAACGTGAGACCGATAAGAGAAAATGAGAGCACTGCTAAACCAAAACCATCCCGTCTATTCCACGCCAGATACCGTACAATTCCGAAAATAAGCCCCAGGGCTTATATTTTTCGCAGGCCCTTTTTGAGGGGCTTATATTTGGAGGGGCTTATATTCGGAGGGGCCTATCTACGGAGGGAAATTTGCGTTTCAAAGCCTTATAGTTGGAAGTAAATTTACCGTTTTTGCTTTGTTTTACTTTGTATTTGAGGGCAATTTTCCTACTTCAAGCCCCCAGGGGGCTTATATTTGGAGGGGCGATTTAACGGAGGGTTTTTTGCGTTACCGGATTAGGGGGGCTTATACATGGAGGGGCTTATTTTCGGAATTTAACGGTAATTAACTTAACTGCATGATATCTTTTACTAGTTATGAATTCCACCCCATAGGTTTTCGTTCTCACAGCTCCACATTTTTTCTAATCCCTGTATTTCGAATAAATGTTTAATTAATATGTGGAAACAAAGAAAACTTGAAACTTGATTTAGAAACTTTTAAGTTTTTGTTATTTTCTTAATTCTAAATCTATCACGAAAGAATTCTAGAAGAATTTTATAACAATTTTGACATGAAGTACAGTTTCTAAATGAATAATTTATTTGCAATTAAACTTCTTCCACACTAACCTGGATTATTTCAGAATTAAACTTCGTCTCTAAATGAGCAGCTCTCTCAGCCTCAATGCTTTCTTCCAGTGACTTGATACGTTCTTGATATTGCTTGATTTTGGATTGATTGAACAGAAATGTTTACGTTATAATACTTGTGAAGTGCTTGGCTCCCTCTAGTCACCTCTAACACAATGTTACCCCGAGACTACAACACCTGGTTTTTAAAATTACTGCCTATACCCAAACTTTGGATTTTACAGTAACTGAAAACTAAGGGTGCTTACCAAACTAACTGGTTGGCTTGAACTGCAGTCAGTTTAAAAAAGTGCAAAATTAGTCTTTTCTCAAAAACTCAGTGCTCCTGAGTTATTAGGAAAACACTTATGTGTCTCCGCAGTCCTGAGCAGTAGTGGAATTTTCTTTGGGAATAAACTGGTCTGACCTTCTAGCTCTGAAAAATTTAGTAAGTGCACTATGTCTATATATAAGACCTTCACACAGCACACATCATGACCGAAAAGAAATGCTGCTTAAAAATAAATCCAAATATGGAAGAGGACCATCCATTATCCTTTAGGAGGAGTGGCTAACAGTCATAGTTACGACACGTACGTCCTGTGGCAGATGCAAATCCTGAGGTAAGGTGGGGGGTAGGAACATCTATCCAGATCTTGAGATATGATGTAAGGGGAGACCCACTCTGGAAAATATTTTTTTCAACCCTGTGGGCCTTGCATGGGATCATGCTCCTTCTCTAGACTGTTTACTGAGACACTAAGCATTTACCAGAAATCTTCAGTCCTACATTGTAAAATACAATACAAATTAAGATACCTCAATCTCTTTCTTTAATCGTTCTTCTTTCTCAGAACAAAATTCCAAGTCTCTCTGTTGTTTTTGCAGTGTCTCTCCCTGACTTGACCGTTGGGCTGTTTTGTAGTATTTTTAAAAATATATAAATAAATCATGTAAAAAACTCAAGAAATGACTGTAAAACGGTTAACAAGTAAAATTCACAAAGAAAAAAAAACTTACTTTCAAGGGAGGAACACTTTTCTTTCAGCTCCGAATATAAGCTGTTGACAAAATGATGTTACATGCTCAATTCAACTCTTGTGTTGACGTCTACAGTTTCGCTCTGGTAAGAACTTCTAAACATTTTAATACTTCCAAAAATAATGTAATACTCAGCAACCAAGGGACAGATACTATGGTCAGTCAAGACAATTTCTTTTTGTCACTTCAACAAAATGCACATAGTACAGCACCTGAGTGCTTGCTTACTTCACAAGATTTCAATCATTCCAGTAATTTTGATGCAACGTCTCTTTTGTACTTTATAACCCCATTAAATGGGACTATAAAATAATGAAGAGACAGGCAAATCACATGTATGTTTCTTTAAGAATCTCTAAGTTATAAATGAAGAACTCTGAGAGTCAATTCCACTGCTACCCGGCATGCAGAGACCCTTCAGTCTTCCTCAGTAGAAAAGTCAAAAAGAGAAAGTAAGGAGAGAGAAGCACCTCTAGTGCTTGCAGGGTATTTCACTACAGACCATTTTAACAGCATTATGTACTACATGCATTTTCCCATAAAGAAGACATTAATCACTAACATGTACTTTAACCTGTTAACTCCTAAGAAAGACCAACATCTAGCATCTCCTCCTTGTGACACTGGTCAAAGCTCAGTTAATCATAAGGTTGTGAGAAAAAAAGGAAATGGAAAAGGTTTTGACCGCGTCAAACAAATTCTGCTCATCAACACCATACGAAATGGATGGATAACAGTGTGTGGAGAATATACAGTATATCCTATCCAAGTATTACTTGGTCTAGACTAAAGGTTTAACAGAGAGCAATCTTGGTGTCAAGTCCAAGTGGTCGGTGGGCCATAAAATTTTAATGACAGCCCTGAAAATGTAATTTTAGCTGTATCTGATAATAACTGGTCACCTCTCTTGTTCCTCAATCACAATATGGAGCTTTCTTTTTTCTTCACCCTCAATCTGGAGTTGATTTGTAAGTTGAAGGATCATGTTTTCCTACAAACATACAAGAAGTAAACATTTGTACATTACTAGTAATTTTCAGAGATCACAAATTCAAATTTGACAATTCCAACATTTCAAGTCTAAGAAGCTATCAGTTGCATTAGGCGCTTAACTGCTCATGAAAACTAAACCAGTCACGTTTTGAGCAATTTTTGCCCAGTTTATTCAAAATTAACCCAGTTAACTTGCTGGGTGTGGCTACAGCTACTGAAGCTAGTCTCCTATAATATGCAAACAGTGTTTATTGTTTACTTTTACAACTGACTTGTTCCCTTGTCGAAATAAAGGTTACTTACTTCCTTATAAAAATGGACAACAGAAATTGGCTGAGTTTTTTTTACCTTTTCTGCAATCAATAGATTTGACTTGTGTTCTTCGTTTTTTGCAGATTGTCTTGTTGATTCCAAGGCTTCCTCTAAATTGTGCAACTGCTTCTTCAGCTGACTGTTGTTTTCTTTTATTGAATTTTAAAAAAACAATAACCAGAATTAAAAATACTGGTGAATAGCCTGGCACCTTCTTCCACCTCTATGGTTTACATGTTGCAGAGGAAAATGAGGAACGGCATAGACTACTTCTGCTACACATAGGCGTACGGGCCGGGGGGGCGAGGGGGGCTGCAGCCCCCCCAAAGTTTGGGTAACTCAGATTTTTTGGGCAGCAAGAGAAAATTTGGGCAAAGCCAGTTTTTAAAGACGTTTCCATGTTTTTTATTATTATTATTATTTTGAAGAGATAAATATTTCCTATTTTAACCAGAAGTCGGAGTAATAATTCAGTTACGTTCACACGAGACAGTGGTTGCCTAGCACGTGATGAGTTTCTGGTTATAAGGGAAGGGTATCATATGCGGATTTTTTTTTTATTGTTGGGCACTGTACTTCACTGCACTAGCTAGAATGGGCAATTTCCAGTCATGAATTGATTAGAATAAACTTCCGCATAACTTTCTAGAATCACCTCCGCTCCTAGAACAGTGTGTGGCAGAACACGCATCAGCAATGGGTCTGAAAGTGAAGAAGTGGCTGACTAATTCTCAATTTGAATTACGAGAAGAATCATAATTTTTTTAACAAAATCTATCGAGCGGTTTAAAAATTATTCATTAATTTGTTTAAGTAGACCGAAATGTTTACAAAACCCCTAACAAGATCGAGCGCTTATCAAATCCCTCTTTATAGCAATTGGCAATTCTCCATGATCTTTCACACACGTTTTTAATGAGGTGAAAATGCATGTTAAAAGCGTTTCCTTTTCTTCAGATTGCGACTAAACATCAAGATTTTCCTTTTTTACCTTATTTCTAACAATAAAAACTTCATCCCAAAATATCTCGATAACGCTCTTACAGCTCCGTTTTAACTTCACGAACATCGAGGCGACTATTGGAGGAAAGAGCTCCCCTGAACGATTTTGTAAGAACAGTTACCAGTGAGAAATATTGCTGCAAGTAGAATAAGGTAATGGCGTCATTTCATTGCTATGACAGCTCCGATGTCATTGCAACCCTGATCATGACAAATTTCCCTCTTTATCTAATACAACTGTGGTGTCAATTTTTTCCAAATGCTTGTTTATGGCGACGAAGTTTATGCTCAAACTTGGCAGGTATTGACTCTGAAAAACTGTATCGAGCCACTTTCATATGCCAGTACGGCCTATTTTGTTGCATGGCCCTAGTTTCCTTTCGACTGTTTTGTAAAAATTTGGGCAACTTGCAAGAATTTTTTGGGCAAATGGATTACCGCCCCCCCTGGCAAAAAATTGCCCGTACGCCTATGCTGCTACAAAACATAGACTACCTCTGCTACAACAATAAATCAGTCCATCACATAAGGATACCAAGCAAAAGTGATTAAGTATAATTTTTTACTCTAGCCAATCTAGCCATCTGGCCCCAGTTGTTCAAAAGTTGGTACACTAGTGGATAAGTTATTAGGGAAACCAATCGGCTCTTTGCATGGCTTGATCACGTGATCAACTTACGGTAAACACGAAAACCAGTTCACTTTTGAAAAATTTTGTTAGCACAAGCTGAAAAGCTTATTAAAATTAAGGAACATGAGAATTTTCAGCCATGTATTTCAAAAGTAGCGATTGAAATGGCCGTCAAAAGTTTGAAGCATTCGTATGAGAAAAACAGCCTTTGTCACTCAGTCACGCTTGCATGGTTTTCCATACAAATCCTTGTAAATTCTAAAACTTTTAAACTGTCGTTAAATCTTTCCCTTACGCATGTAAGGGCTCAAATTGCCTGTTACGAATTAAAACGAGATTTGAGCCCTGTAATGCTTGATGAAATATTTCCCGAAAGTTTTGAAAATTTTGAAACTATGGGGATTTGTATGGAAAACAATGCAGGTGGGACTGGGTGGCAAAAGTTGTTTTTCTCATACAAATGCTCCCAACTTTCGGCAGCCATTGAAATCGCTACTTTTGAGATATAGGCAGCGTGCAAAGAAAGTAGTGTCCGATAGCCGAGGGCTAGTGGATTTTGCTATCGCGCTAGTGAATTCTGTTTTTAACTTGCCCAATGGGCAAGTGAGGTTTTCTGAGGAATTTGAATAACAGAAGAACTGTGAAATCAATTCTACTAGTCAAAAAGTTTTTGGGGCTAGTTGAAATGACATCTGGGCTAGTAAATGCTAGCTTCAGCTTGCCCGAATGGCAAGCTGTAAAAATGAAAAGGTATCTGACACATCATCTAGAACGCTTTGGCGGCCTTTTCTTGTTTCATTGCAATTATGATGTTAGTATCCTTCCACTGAATATTTCTCTATTCTATCTAGAATTACTGCAGTGGTGGTCAGAATTTAGAGATACGTTCTCTTCAGAAAAAGACTGGCGTTATATTCTTTGGAATAACAAACAAATACTCATTAATAAAAAAACAGTTTATTATAAAAGCTATTTCGAAGTTGGTGTAGTTCACATCAGCGATCTATCCTTTGACTTGAATAACAAAGATTCCTTTTCCTTAGTTTCTAACAGGATTTCTAAAACTAATTTTTTAGTTTCGGCAGGTCTTCGACACTCCATTCCTTCCATTTTAAAAAATTGTACTCATAAATCAACAACAGGTGAACTTTCTCTAAAAATTGACGATAATATATTTGATGTCACAAAGAAGAAATCTAAAGACTATTATCCTTTACTTGTAAGCAGAAAGGCTCTTTTTCCAACTAATGTAAACAAGCTGCAAAATGAATTTCATTTCACACTCGAGGAAGTTAAACAAATTTTTATGATCCCGCATAGTGTTGCTCTTGAAGCATATGTTAAGGCATTTCAATACAAAATTCTTAACTCCATTCTCTATACTAATGCTAAACTTTACAAAATTGGCTTTAAATTGAATGACTCGTGTTCATTTTGTTCATCTGAACCAGAAACGCTATATCACTTCCTATATCTCTGTCCTTTCTCGGTAGATTTCTGGTGTGACTTCGAAGTATTCTGGCACTAACTTTTAAAGGAAAACATTCGACTTTTGTCGCAAGATGTTTTAGTTGGAATAATACGACAAAACTCCCCTTCTGCTAAGCTTGTAAACTATCTTTTATTATGATTGGGAAATTGTACTTGTGGGATTGCAGAAGAAGTCAAATTCTTCCGAATATATATGGATTTAAAAAGAAAATTGCTTTAAAATATGACACAGAAAAATATATAAGTCTGCATAGTAAAAAAACAAAGGATTTCTTTGAAGCTAAATGGATACTGTCCCCTCTTGTAAATGCTTAACTATTTAAAGTTTTAATATGCATCCACATTTCTAGTTTGTTTGAATTTTGTTTTTTTTCTTTTTTTTTTTTTGGTTACCGTCTATTGTTAGTGATATTGGTTTTTTTTTTTTTTTGTATTATATTATTAGTATTAGTAATATTAGTTGTAACATCATAATTATGTAGGTAAGTAACTAATTTGTTGTATTAATATCAATTTGTTTCAATAAAGAATTATATATATATATATATATATAAAAAAAAAAGCTGTAAAAATGATTTTCTGTGCACCCTGTATAGGGCTGAAAATTCTCAGGTTAACCAATTTTAATATGCTCTTCCAGCTTGTGCTAATAAAATTTTTCCAAAATGCACTGTTTTCATGTTTACCGAAAGTTGATAACATGATCAAGGCATGCAAAGAGCCTATTAAGCTATCCACCGGATGGAGATTTATCCACTGCATAGCATTATCCACCTTTTCAACGACTGAAGCCAGGTCTCAGTTGTTTAAAAGCTGGATAACACTATCCATCATATAAATCTCTACCCAGTGCATTAGGCAATTGGTTTCCCAAATACATACATTGTATCCTCTCCATGGTGATTTATTCACTCGATAGAGCTATCCAGCATTTGAATGACCGTGCATGTTGTAGTCTTGATGAAAAAAAATATGGCAATACCTTTGAGACTTGCATTAGTTTTCTGCAATGCTCCCTCCCTCTCTGCCACTGCTCTTTTTTCTTGATTAGCTGTTCGGCTTGCAATGGTCAAATCATACTCTAGCTTTTGTCTGTTAGCCTCTCCCTTCTCTACAGTGGAGCGTAACTTGGCTATTTGGCTTTGTAATCCCATGATCTGAAAAATGATGTGAGAGGCAATAATAAAGGCACAAACATAGAGACATGAGTCTTATCTTATATGAGGGGAGTGATCAAGCACAGGAATTTGTTTTCTTCCTGAGACTGAGAATATAACTTTTTGTTTATCCTAGAGTCAAACAAATTACAGACAAATTCCAACAAATTAACTATAAAGTAAATGAGATAAATGCTATAGTTGAGTAACTTGCAGGTCTTTAAAATGTACATTACCTCTTCATTAAATTGTCTGGTTTTCTCTGCCTGCTCCTCATCACCACGAGCAAGTTTTCGTCTCAGTTCATTGGCATCTAGATAGAAACACTCAAACAATTACACAAATTTTTCGTAAAAATAAAAAACATTACACAGATTAAAGACACCTTGAAACAATTATACCATCTGACCTATGGCTCTTTTTTTGATCGATTTTTGAATGATCCCATGGATCTCTAAGCAAGAAAAGTCAAATTCCAATGAAACCTAAAAGGAGGTAGTGAAATCTAAACCAGGTGCAGAGATGTACAATCGTGTAGCTATGAAAAAGCTTAAGCAGGCTTTTAAATTAGTCAAGGGGGGTTTTTTACTCATTACAACTGCAACTGGAACCAGTGGTAAGCTCTTTTTCAGCCAGTGAAATAAGCCAGCAGCCAGCTTTTGTGGCATCCCTTAATTTTGATTTCAGTATGACGATGAACATCTATTAATTTAGCTTGAAGCTTCTGCATGATGCTTTCCTAAGGTACTGTTTACTTTGCTGTAAAAGATGATTCTAGTAGTTTAAATTTTTTATTAAAAAAACTCCTTAAATGGACTCTGGTAGAAGATCCAGTACTAGTATTTAGAAGCGATAAAGCTGTTTGATTTCAAAATGCTGCCAATGAAAGGCTGAAGTTCTAGCTTACATGTAAGTCAATGTTCACTTTAAAACAAATCCCAAAGCAATCCCCTTACCAGGGAAATCCTTCACATTTCCAGCATCCTGTAACTGTTGTATTTGTAGCCTGAGATCCTGAATTTCTCTCTGGTAATCCGCAACTTCATCATCATTTCCTGCAACTTCTCCCATGTCTTCCACTTGCTCAATGCTCTAAAGTGGTCAAGGAATATGGTTTTTTATTCATTACCTTTAATATTATACCTTATTATAGGAAATTAACGCTTCATGAAATTAATACAAATTTTAAAAAATCACAATTAATTTAAATTGCGTTAAATTTTATAAACATCATTTTTCGCGTCATTAATTAAGAGGAGCATTGCCCCAAATTCTCAATACACTTCTGACATTCTTGACACATAAGGAAGAGGAGTATTTTATCAGGGTGAAGATCTGCCAGTAACGGTGAAACTGTGAAGACCCTTCAAAGTGGCCAAATTTCTTTACTTGACCCCCTTTGTACATGTAAGTACATGGAAACAAAACCATGAACAAATTTTTATTTTGGATCATCTATTTAACATTGTTCTTGTAGTCTCAACAAGTTTTGCTTCTTGGTGAACATCAAATTAATTTCCTTCATTTTGAAATGTTACCATCTCTTTTGGGTTAATTTTGTTTAACTGAAAGTCCATTTTAATTTGCATTAATTTAAGTCACATTAATTTCCAATACCTTAATTTCATGGAGCGTTAATTTCCTATAATAAGGGAACCCTTTACTTCCAAACCTGATCATGGAAACACAAAAAATCATAAATTTTGAGTCTGTGGATAAAAGCCTGTGATGTGGACATTTTATGAAATCGCTTTGGCAAAAGACAGAGACATTACAAAAGATCCAGATGTTTATCAACAGTTGTCTGAGACAGCACATTTTCAAGATCAGATGGCCAGAAAAAGTCAAAATGAGGAGCTTTGGGAGTCAAGCCCAGGAACCAATGGAAAAAACAAATCCTAAGGCATTAGTGGGGGTAGACAGGGGATAATAAAACTGACATCAAGCATGACACCTGAAAGCCCCTGGGTAGAGGGAAGAGGGGTCCGCTTAAGAACAGCTAGAGACGAGACAGTGGGGAAGAACTTAAAAGGCTGAAAGGCTGGGAGTCAGTGGGCTGAGGTAGTAACAAGAGCCAGGATCCAAGTTCGATAGAGGACTGTTGTCCATGGCCTTTATGCTCCACTAGGAACCATGGCCCTATGTAAGTGACTACAGTTGTACAGTGTAAGTTAGCTGGTCTTATGCAAAATATATCAGCTGTAGTATTGTCTTCATTATTTGTATCTCATTCTTCAACTTAATGAAATTTTGGATTTTCATAATTTTGGTTTTAGAGCAGAAGGGTGTTACTAGTAAAAGGATGATCTTCTGTACCAGTCAGTTCGAAAACCGTAATCCACCCCCCCAAACAGGCATTTGACTGGAGTTTTGTTCCATGCAGTGGGGAATTTGACCCAAAATAAGGCCCACCCAGTCCGGCATTTGACTTTTGTGTCAAAATGGAGATCTGCAGTGTCGCCAGCAAAAGGATTTTGTAATTCGTTCCGCATTCTGCTGTGCACCACATTCATGGGTCATTGCTCCTATATTCACTGTTATGTTGGAGCACTTGAGAAAGCCTGTTAAATGTGGGGGGAGGGGCTGGGCTACATGGGCAGTTTTGAAATTGACTGGTACAATATGGACACCTTATTTGATGAGAGTATGGAGTAATATTACACTCATGCAATGGGTATCAAGATGCAAAAATTTGTTCAAAAGCATTTCAGTTGTCAAAAATGTCTGAATTGGTTTAAAAATCTTTCATTGTTCCTAAACACTTCACACTATGGTGTTAGCAACGCAAACACAAATTCATTTCCTTTGATGCTTGACCCCTTTGTACAAAATTAATTAAATAATTATTGCATAGAAATGTTATAGAGTAAATCATTGTAAAGACAAAAGCTCTTCCAGAAAAAAAATTAATTACAAACTTTCATTAAATCTAAGGCCAAAATTAATATTTGAAACAGGATTGCAAATGGTAAATATTTCATCTAAGCCTGTTTATTATTTTTACCTCATTTATGTGACTTTTTGCATTGTTAGCAGCTGATGATTAACAAACCAAACAAAATGTGTATCGCCTTACCAATCTACGGATTATAAAACTTTTTCAGATTCTTTGAAAAATATTTATTCACCTCCTGTGATAAAATTCTTTTCCACTGGGAGGTTTTAGAATTTATTAAATGGCCGAAGACATGCTCACTCCAGATTACAAAGCACTCACCGATCAAACATAATCGTGTTTTTAACACAAGAACTCAGCAATATAAATCCTGAATAGATACCAAAAAGCAATGCATTATGATTTAACCGATCGAAGAGAATATAATGCTATTGTTTTCTTGGTCTCAAGTTAATCAACCGGCACAATCATAGTGTCAGAGTGAAAAGATAAAAAAGCGCATTAAAGCTAATCTAATGGTAAACAGTAAGCTCACAGTGCCCAAAAATTAAGACAGTAAACGAATCGCTGAGCTCCGATCGCAGACATGTGGAGTCCAGGAGCTCACTCCTTTTGTAGGGAGAAACAGCAATTTAAAAGACACTTACATCCTGAGCAAACGTAGGAGAATTTGGAGAACTATTTCCACTATCCGGAGGCGAACCCGTTGATACAGGAATAGGAGAAATGGACGCACTTCCTGGGCGACCGAGAGATCCGCGGTCCGTGTACGTTGAACTCCAATCACTTGTCGCCATTTCGCATGATTTAGAGAATTTTAGGACCAGTAGTGAGTTTATGGCCAATAGTTCATGTAACATCCATTAGAATGATATTTCTTTGTCTTTTGTTTCAACAACAAAAAGCTGAAAATCTCGAAATGTAAAAGCTTCAACGGATCTTGAGAAAGCGCGATTTGGGTTGTTGTTAATGACCGCTGACCATAGTTTCCCGCTCAATTTTTAACTTGTTCCCAGACTACTGCGAATCCTGGGGAGTACTCCCTTATAAGGGCTAATGGGGTCTTGGAAACAGGTTATCGATTTTATCAATTTTTGTCTCAAACAGGGTATCTTTTCTTGGACGATAAACAGCCTGCGCGTATGTTCTACGAATAAAACTACAGCAAAATTTTTACAAGACGGCTCGCAACTCTGATGATCAAGCTGTAAATAGTTTTGTGATTGCTAATGGATTACATAAGAAAGAGTTTCGATATTTATTATTGTCTTACACAGGGTATGGTTTCGGGTTAAATGTCTTAAACAGGGTATCAAAAATCGGAATTCTGGGTAGGAAAATAAGGGTAGGAAAATAAGCGATTTTTGTCTTAACCAGGGTCAGGGTATGAGTGGCCAGGCCGCACCTCCCCTCTCAAGGATATATCGAGTATCCTCCCCCCGGGCAGCGAATACATCCGTCTCTCCTCGCTGTTTATAGAAATTTCACTTATATGTTATTATTATTTATTGTTATCCGTGTATTTTCATTATCTTTATCATACCTCCGTATAAAGCATTTCGTAGGTAGGCCTCCTCTGATTATATCAAAAAGAATATTGAAGATAGATTTATAATTTTGATCTTAATTGATAAGTTGCGATAATTTAATGATCTCGAAAATCAGTGGAGTCGGCTATTATAGACAGAAAGCAATAGAATATTTAGTGTACATTTGAATGCTAGCAGTCCTTCCCTACGAGAGTGACGATAAGATTAGTGCCCGTGCAGATAGCGAGAGAGCAGAGAAATATTGACGGCTAGACGCATTTCCAGCTATTTCCACCTAATTCGATTCAATGCCAAATTTTCTCTGGGATCATGCCTTGCGGTGCCCTTTCACCAGCCAACAATGCTATGCCTTTCACGTCCGCTTTCACGTCCGCTTTCACGTTTCCGGCATAGCCTGTGCCACAGACGAAACTAAACTCCCATCTGGTTAAGTCTCGACCGAGGTTAACACAGGCTAAATACAGTCGACTCCCGATAACTCGAACCCTTGCTAACTCGAACCTCGCGCTAACTCGAACTAAAATCGATTTCCCCTGGATTTCCGTCATACAGTCACTGTAATTTTACCCTCGGTAACTCGAACCCTCGATAACTCGATAGCCTGAGTATCAGGCGTTTCTGGGGAAAAGGGGAAAGATGGAAGCGAAAAAGAGAGAGAGCTGAAGGAGAGAAACCTTCCTTTCTCTTCTCCCCCTCCCTCCTCCCCCATCTAAAATCTCCTTTCCCCTAGCCCCTTAGGAAGGCCTGATACTCAGGCTAATAACTCGAACTCCCGCTAACTCGAACCAATTTTCGTTTCCCCTCAGGTCATTTTCAATATAATTTTACCCTCGATAACTCGAACCATGTTTTGAGTCCTTAAAAAGTCGGGAAAAAAAGCCGCCTACGGGTGTCCGAAACTGAATTTTGGATTTCCTATTGACGTGTTGTAGGAGCATAGTTTACTAGTGGATGTTGATGTTGATTGTCACAGGCTAACGTGAAGCAGCTTTTCTTCTCAAAACAGTAAAACGCATGCTCTATTCAGGCTATGTTTCGTTACGTTACGTTCTGATTTATAATGTAGAAGTATCTTTTAATTTTCACTTAACATTTCTCAGTACAATTAAATGTGATTAAAATGTTCACTGTGCAGTAAAAACTGTTTTTTACCTTACTCTCGGCTATTTTCTTCGAACTCCCGATAACTCGAATCTTTTTCGATTTCCCTTGAAGGTTCTAGTTATCGGGATTCGACTGTATACAGTATACAAGGCTACCAACCTCGTCCCCAGGGCTTTTCTCTAATTGCCGGCTATTGACGGGTCATTCAAGTCCCTTCATGCTCTTACCTGCCATTAGGCGATCCTTCTTCCCTTTTTGTTTATTGATCACTCTTGATCTATTTTGAGTCTTTTGATGCATTACAAAGTGTAGACCAGGCATGAGGCAGACCTTAATAGGGGTGTCAACAACAACAATAACAACAACAACAAAAACTAGTTTATTCAGTATGACCATTTCTATACATGTTACCGATTGAAATACAATAAACAAAGAAAGTTAGGGAAATATAGCAAATAAGGTTATACTACTACATGAGAAATTTGATTGGCTTAGAGCAGTGGTATTTCAGCTTAATCTGAAATATCTACATGTGAAAATTACAAACGGAAACCTTTTACAGGTAGTAGTTTGAACAAATAATAGCATGATTTGTACGTGATATTTGGCATATTGTCTCAAAATTCACTCGCCTAACTGTTCGTGAAATTACGTATAACAATTTCGAAATATCTCTTGTGGTTTTTATGCCTAATATTACCACAAATAGTGCTATTACTTATACTAATTGAATGTGTCACGTTCCTTTATCGGAGGAAAGCGTGACGAGAATAATGACAACTTATACTAGATTTAATTCTTTAACGAGTCGAAACGAACACATTCGGTTTCGGTCAGCATTTACCTGAACCGACTTTGAAAAAATTTAAACTTCCAGTGAGGAAAGGACAAAATTTGTCATAAATTTGTATACGAAGGAGGAGCAGGGGCGTCTACTGGGGATTTTGTGAGGGCAGGACAGGGGTTACCGGTGAACAGAAGGCTCATGTTACAATCAAAACAAAAAGCAAAAAAATCACAGAAACAAAACAGAAAAATTGCGGATACCCAAAAAAGAATTTAAACTGTGGCCTTCAAAATATAATTACTATCAAACCCGTGCTCAAAGAATGAAGAATTCGTATCTATAAGCAGGGAACGTGCTTGATGCTTTTCATGAAGTCGTGACCCTTGTAAATAAATTTTCCGTTGAAGCACGTACAAGTATCAGAAAAGAATTCCTTGAGGATGCTTTTGTATGTGGTGATAACTACGTTGTTGGCAGTTTTAACCGTGAGCTCATGGCAAAACATTTCTTTTCGTCGATCTAAAGATGAGCAGCACAAAAATCTTGTAGAAAAGCAGATAATAACTAAGTACACTTAAAATGTGTGCAAAATGTCAAGTGACCGAATGGCATCGTCATTGATTAAATGCCCTTAAATGTCCTTGTCAGGTAATAAACGTTTTTCGGTGAAAAAAGGAACTTTTTTCATAACGGAACTTATTATTCAACCGACAGTGATTCTCGTCATTCTCTGAGTCGGCTATTAATAAACGTGGGTATTTTCATGTTTTTCCTTCTTCAAAAGTGAACTGGCTTGAAAAAAAAGCGGAGAAAGCGCGAGCTTTGAGTATTACAGAATTGAGTTGGTAGTCTAACACCATGAAAGTACGTTAGTAAACGGGTGTTACAATTTCCCAATGGTTTTCCAAACTCTTAAGAGTGATTTTCTGTAAGATTCGAACTTTCGCCTGACACGGCATCTCATAGATTTGGCTGATTTTTGGCATGAAGTCTTAGAATGGTGCCCTAAATACTGAATGCATATTCTTTGGTTTGAATTCTCTTTCCTTTGGAAGATACAGAAATGACGGTTTGACGGGGCTTCCGGAGGGCCGCCATATTGGCCGATTTAGGGAGTTTTTAAAGCATTTATTTCGGCCTTGGCATAGAAATGAATTGTCCATTACTCGTACAGCTAAAAAGAACTATCCTTTAACTTTGTATTTACGTACATTTAATTGAAAACGGTTCAGCATGAGCTTGGAACGGTTGAATTGTCTTACTACATATTTTCGGTACTCGGAATGCAGACAAATTTAGTAGAAATTGAAAAGTATATATCACCCATGCCACATCGAATTAGAACAAACCACCCTACCTGAATGGAGTTTGTTTATAGGCAAGTTAGACCGATGAATAAAAAAATTGGGCAAATGCCATGGAGAAGAAATATGTTAACATCAATGTGCAATGATTTCAGCCCGGCCATTGCCCGAGTTTGCCCTCAGTGACATTTACAAAGCAAATCGGTGAATCTTGCTCGAAAACTTCTTTAATGAATCTTGCCTCGTCCAGGTTATTATCTAACGCTAAATAACACTTCACTTTTTATGGAAAAGAATGGTGAGTCTTTCCCGATTTTGCGTCTGTATTTTGCGAATATAAATATTACACACGTTTGATTCACTCACACGCAGTCATGTCATGCTTCATCATGTCCGCACTAGTTCAACATTATTTCCCACTGTATCATACTGTTTGCAGCCAAATACATATAACAACCAATTTCGTCTGCAAATAAAGGTAACACAACCTTTGCAAAATTTTAGCAAACGCTAACTAGACTCAACAATGTATAAATACGGCTTTATGCAAATTCCTGCACAGTGTTCGGTACGAGGAACAATTTTCTAAAGCGGCTCTTCCCCTTCTAGTATATTTTTCCCGCCACTGGACTTAAAGCGTAATCAGTGAAAAGGATTCTACTAAGTGGTATGAGATTTAAAAAAAAAAAAACAGCTTATTAAGTCAACTTACGTGATGGTAACATCAGCACTGTATGAAAGTCCGTAAGTTATTGCGCACGACGAAACAATAATATCTTGGGAGAAAGAAATGCACGCTGGAACGCAAGCAGGAATGAACATCCTTTATCAGATGTCAACGTCTTCGTGGGCTGTCAGTTCTTCCCGTGCTTTCAGTTTGGAAAGAAGGTAAGTTATTGTTTTTTTCTCTAACAATGACATTCAATTTCCTTTAATTTTCGACAAATCCGGTTATTTTATATCAACCTGGAATTCCAGAAAATCACAAGTCATCTTTTTCAACGAGGAAGTGCTGCCACCGGTTACGGTGAAATTTCACTTACGGGGGTTTT